CTTATCGCTGTCTTCCGAGGAGAAAACTATCCACGTTCACGCTGTTTAATGCCAGAATCAGGATGAGAACCCAGCTGCACAGACTGGGGAGTGCACAGCACTCATGGAGGGTCAAGCATTTTCTTGTTTGTCATCAACTTACTGCATTGTGTAAGGTTCCACAATGTAGTAACTTTTATTTTTAGGTGCTACTGAGGGCACTTAGCACTCATTCACAAGCTACGATGTTTTGTAATTCATCTGTCTTCTTTTGTTTCCTACTTTCCTCTTCATTGGCAGGTCGTCAGCCATCAGCAATTTCTGCCGCTGTTGTGTGCTTGTCTGAAGGAGGCCTCCCTTCCTTCTGGGTGGCAGCCAGTGATCTCTGGCAGCACGACACTTCGCTGAATTTGTTATAATTTGTGAATGAAAATACCAAGTGAGGATAATTAGGAGTAAATGAAAGATTTCGGGCTTGAACTTTGTGCCACCTACTTCAGTTACTTTTCTGTTTACTTCTGCATTCTCATCTGTGTTCCATTATTATTCAAATGGAAAATGCACAATCGTAGAACACGTTCCATACATTTTTACAGATAACTCAATTTTTATATAGGTGAATGATAATTTTAGATCATAATGTAGCTCTATACACAGGCTGATCGCCAAAATGTTACTTTTATATATTATGTCTCTATCTCAGATTTTTAAGTCTCAGTTTTATAAATTTTAAAATTATCCATATTATAAGTCTCAGTTTTTTAAATGCAATTTGCTGACCTACCAAGTTATTTATTCATGATTTTAAAAATTATTTGGTGTCAGTATTACCCCATAATTCATGAATTATTATTTCCATGTTCACAAGTAAAGCGATATTAATTAATCTCTAACAAAATGTTACATTTTTGAATGGCCTTGACCTCCTTTGGCCTTGTCTGCATTCACTCCTCAATGCTAGCTTCTATTATTACTGGGGAAAGAGCTCCTGGACCTGCTGAAGGTACTAAATATTTCACTATGTTCTTATCTGGTGTATTTTATGTCAGAATTGTATTGTTTGCCTAATTGAGATGATAATCTATGCAAATAAGGACTTTAAGTTGCCCATATATGAGACTTAAACTAAATATTTTTGGGCCTCAGAAGGTGGCTGGTCATTTGTGAAGTAGAAAATGAGAATATACCCCAATCCAACTCTTCCTGCAATTGCTAATTAGGAAATAGACAAGTGTAGTATTCTTAAAAAGGCCCTGAAAATGGCATCTTACTCTTTTCCTTTCTTCATCCTCTCCAACACATCTAAGGTTGTTAAATATTGATTTAATCAGTACAAATATGACATCTAAAGTTAGAAATCTGATTAGCTAATACCATACCCTGAAAGTTTAAATAAGAATTTAAAATGATGGCTATTATTTCTTCTTTAGTGAAAGATCACAGAAAGTGGTAACTTTGGGGGTACAGAATATTTTGTCTATTAAACTAACATACGGAAATAAATTAGCCAAGAAAGTTGATATACCTCAGACATATCTAGTGTGAAGGAACGTTTCTTAAAAGATATTCTTTTCTGTAGCATTCCTTGCTCCAGTTTAACCTTGTATAAGAGGAAGATATAAAAAAAAAAAAGCCAGTCTTTTTTTTCCTGGAGCTTGTCATTTGGCAGCAAAGGTAGACCATCCTTAAATAATTTAGATACTAAGCAGACTGGTGCTTGTTATAAAAGAACTTTATGGGTGACATTGTGAGGGAAGATGGAACCAGGAATTCTTACTGAGATAGGAAAAGAGTCTGGGAAGGCTTCTTGATACTATTTGAGTTGGATCTTGAAGGAAAAATGTAGTGTTTTGGATAAGGAGCATTCCACAGTGAGAGAACTATGTGAATTAAAAGGTCCATAAAATAGTTTCATGGACACTTTCTGTGCTGGGTACTTTACATGCATGAACCCACTGGACCCCAAGCAGTCCCGTGAAGCAGGACCCAATACCCGCATTCACAGACGAGAAGTGAAGCTTGGAGAGGCCGCTCCGCTCAAGATGACCCAGATGATGGGTTCTGGAGCAGGCAGAGGCCTGTCTGCTAAGCTCAAAATCTGGAGGTGGGAGTGGGGCCCAGCCTCCTGGGGAAATGGGCAGTGGTGTGAAGCACAAAGCTGAGGAAAGGCTTAGGGCAGCTTTCCCAGGTCGGCCTCAACCCAGGCACCATGGGGCACGTGTTTAAAGTAGAGGTTTCGCCCTGGCTGGCATAGCTCAGTGGATTGATCATGGGCTGCAAACTAAAGGGTCGTGGGTTCGATTCCCAGTCAGGGCACATGCCTGGGTTGTGGGCCAGGTCCCCAGTGGGGGCCACTCGAGAGGCAACCACACATTGATGTTTCTCTCTCTCTTTCTCCCGCCCTTTCCATCTCTAAAAGTAAATACGTAAAACCTTTTAAAAAATTAAATAAATAAAAAATAAAGCAGAGGTTTCCAGGTGGATGCCCCTGGATTCTCAGATCCTGCTGGACTGGGGCAGGTGTTTAAATGCGTATGTTTAACAAGGACCCCAGGTCATCTTTCAATCAAGCAAGTTGAGCACACCTGTTTAACCCGATTAATGTATAGCTGGAAATAAAGGCATCTAACTCTGTAATTGGTGCTCAATTATTTGTAGAAATGTCCTTTTTTTAAAAAAAGGAAACTACACAGTTTGCACTTAGACCTCTAATGGGGTGGCATTGGTTTATGAGCAGGATATACAATTATTAGGTACTTATAGAAGAATGAAGTGTTATTTATAGGAATAAAATGTAATTTTTGTTTAAACTTAAAATATCCTTCAAAAAATTCCAGTAAGGTGCTTTTAAAATGAGGAAAGTTTAATTTACTAAAGAGGTATCTAAGGCATTTTTTATTTTACAATGGAATCTTAAGTACTTTTTCACATTTGAGGTTGTGGTGAGAATAAGCATGTATGTTTTAACATGAAACATAATATAACTACTATAGCGATTCCAACTTTTAAAATAATATTGTTTCTCTGATTTGAAAATTAATATCTTTCTTGGGACCTCAACCCCCAAAATATTTGGAAACATTTGTTTCTTTTGCTTCCTGGATCCACTCTCCTCCAACTTCTGACCACCTTGCTTCCTCCATCACTTTCAGCTGGCAAGGTTGCCCCACGCTCGCATTTACCAGAGAAAAAGAAACACCATCTCATGGAGATTGGCTCGGCATCCTTACTGGAAGGGGCACGTGGACATCCACGCCTGCACCCTTGTTGGGGGAGCAGTGTTGAGGAAAAGGCATCGGCAAGGTCATACCGCCTGTCTGTGCCTTGAGTGCCATCCCCTCCTGCCACCTCCCACACCTCCTTGGGCCATTATCCCTTTATGAAGTAGTCCCTCGGTCCTCCAATTTCAGTGATGTGTGGGCCTCTCTTAAGGAAAAAACTATTGAGGATTCCCAGGGACGACTTAGACTTTTTATAAACCAAAATTTTAAATAAACAGACATAAAAGCTCTGTGCTATATAGTTCTTATATAAGATAAAAGCAATTTTACAAATTAATACACATAAACTACAAAGTAAAATTCGATAGCTGGTGTGCTAATATAAAAGACACATTTAAAAATGAACACAAATAAAACCATAAAACACAGGTATTCAAATGGACATCGTTTAATGTGACAGTGAAACTAAATTGCAGCTTGACAGTTTCTATAACTGACCCAGGTTCTTTTGGGTTCTCCATGCATGTGTCCCTCTGGGCCAGGGGACGACTCATCTCCCAGTACTCTTCTTTGTTTGGAACATCACACCCTATAATAACGAGATAAGTTAAGGCCTCCCCTAAGAAATGTGCTATGGCGCTACACACCCTAGTTTGTTTTCCTTTGAATGTTTCTTTAGAAGTCTGTATTTATCCTGGAATACTTATCACTGTGTGTTATAAAATTCCCATTCACCTTTCAGTCTCCTCCATCTGCCCTTGCCCTTCACACCAAATCCCCAGCACCCATTCAGTGACATCATAAAATAGCATTACAGTATATCCTTCATTTTATTGTTGTAACGGGAATGTTTTCCCCATGCATTCCACTTTGAAAGCATTTCTGTTAAGATCATAATTTTCATATATATGTGTATGCAAAATTTCCTACTGTTGTTGAACTTTTAGATTGCTTTCAGCTTTTCCCTTTTATACATTTTATTTGCACTACTCACAGTCTAGTGGCTATTGGCTTTTAAGTTTGATTCTTGGTTGGATTTGGTTAGTGTAAGGTATTCATCGTATGTGACTATTTAGCACAGTATGTGAATAGAACCAGTAATCAGAGCAATGTCTAACTCAATAAAAGCTACCTATTTTGCACTTACAAAAAATACTTGGTGTAGGTTTTCACAAATGACAGGTAAAACTTACCTGTTTTAGTGATGGGAACGCTTTATTAAATTATAAAATTTTGACTTAGAAGGTGAACACACAGCTGATTTCTCAATATTGTCACCTACTTGAAGTGCCTGTCTACAATGTCTGCTTGGGAGAACTGGAGCAATGTTTACAAATGCGGAACAATAGGAAAACCAAAGAAGCAATGGCGCGTATTTGCATTAACACCTGGCGAGTATTGCTAAACAGCATCCCTTCCCATATTAGACGTAGAAGCCCTGAGGAAAGACAGAAGGTAATTTCTTTTATCGCAAAGGAAACGCAGGCTGAGCGTCTCTAAGGTTCCGACAGCTCTTCGGCGCAGAAACAAAGTGCGAACCGCAGAGGGGGGAACTGGATCCCCACCTGTTTTATTGAGTACACTGCACCAGAGCCGTGCGCTGAGAGGAGACCACGCGGAATTTTAGCTACTTCCATTCCTCCGACACGCCCTCCCAGAAATTTCAGCTCATTGGCTCCTTTCAGTTTTCCTAGTCTTCCCGGGGAAGCTTCCCTGTCTCCTTGGCAACCTGAGCTGCCACCAATTGCAGCCAAGGATTGGTAATCACGTGGTCTGTGCCGCGTCTCTAGCGGAGGAAACATGGCGGCCCTGGCCAGTACTGGGTGTGAAAGTTGAATTGTTCTACTGTGGCTGCTGCATCTCTGCTGATGGCGACTGCGGCTTTGTGCGGTTCCCGTCAGAGCCCAGAGGGGCTCCTTGAAGACTCCTCTCCGCAAGAAGATGAGGACTGTGATCCTGATGATGGAGCCAGCGACTGGGGTTCCTATTCGTCCGCCAGTAGCGATTACGAGTAAGGTTCTGGAAGAGGGACAATGAAATCCGTGCCTTCAGTGCTCAGAGTGGAGGGTGCACGTGGGTTGGGGGGGACTGCGGAGTTTTGGGTGGTTGGGATTCAGTGATCTTCAATAGCAGCGATTTTCCACCGTTTTCATGTCTTGGCACACATAAACTAATTGTTAAAATTCTGGGGCACACCAAGAAAAAAAATTTTTTTTGCCTGTCTGATAAAAAAAATAGGTATAATTTTGATTCATTTACTCTGGATGGCTATTGTTGTGTTGGCTGTATTGTCATTTTTTTTTATTTGGCGATCTAAAGGAAAGGAGATCAGTGTCCCTGACTAAATAATCAGGTACTGCAGGTCTGAAAAATTCTTGCAGCGCATCTGTTGAAGATCGCTGTTCTATAGTAAGCGGATTTATTTGTGCCAGCTTTCAGTTGTGTGATATCATGAGCCGAAATGAAGTGCCCATTCTTTGCTACTGTAGGTTTTTTAAGATTCTCCGATGAGGAGTCTCTCCTCTTTCTGGTGGATTCCATAGTATATGAGGGTTTGTCTGTTAGAGCAAGGGTGTCAAACTCATTTTCACTGGGGGCCACATCAGCCTTGCAGTTGCCTTCAAAGGGCCAAAATAATTTTAGGACTGTATTAATGTAACTACTCCGTAACTGTTAAGGAGTTGAAATTACATTCGGCCCTCTGAAGGCAACCCAGGCGGATGTGGCCCCCCGGTGAAAATGAGTTGACACCCCTGTTAGGGTGTTCGTAAAACTGCCCTGTTGCGGTCGGTGTCTTTTTGCTTTTTTAGCATCATGATGTTTGTGACTTCAACCTCATCAGTACTGAGAGCGAAAGGACACCCTACACATTTTATAAGACAACTATTTAAAGTATGTAGTTTTTTCCTGTTATAAAAATAAATAGATGTGTAAAGGAAAGAAAATCCACCCATAGTCTCACAGTGAGGGACCACCTCTCTTAACATTTTGGGGGTATTTCTCCTATATTTTCCTATATATCCTCATGGTTTTCTTGTTTGTTTTCTTTTACCGTAATGTAATTTTTTAAATACAGAATACCTAAGTATCGCTTTCCACTTTTTTTAACCTTAATAATAGTGAAAAAGTTACTTTGATTCATAGTATTTAGTGCTGCCTCTGTTTTAAAGGAATCTATCCATTACTACTATGGATTAAGAACTTGCTGAAAGTCGGTTAGTGGTAGCTTGAAATGACAAAGACTGAAAAGGTCCAGGTGCCAAAACATCAACCAACCCACGCTGTAATGGACTGCCATCTATGTCAGTTTTAGGATGACATTTTTATATGTATTTAGGAGTAACAATTACTTGGCAATTACTGTCATCTGTAAGTATGTAAAACACTTTTCATTGTCTTTAAAAACATGGAGGAAAATCATTACTAATAGCTACTTAATATACTCTAGAGCAGGGGTGTCCAACCAGTGGCCCATGGGCCTCACGATGCCCATAATGGCTATGAATGAGGCCCAACACAGAATCGTGAATTTACTTAAAACATTATGAGATTTTTTTGGTGTGTGATTACATGTCATAATGTATTTATGTGTGGCCCAAGACAACTCTTCTTCCAGTGAGGCCCAGGATGCCAAAATACTGGATACTCCTTCTCTAAAGGCTTAATTAATGAGGACAGGTCACATTCTTGAAGACTTGAACAAATTTAAGAATATCACATATTTTGCATAATCTACCACTGTGCTTATTTAAAAATAATTAGAAAATTCATGGTTATCAATCAAAGCTGCCCAGAAAGGAAGTCTGAATTTCATGGAACCCATTAGGTCTTGCTATGGGAGCTATAGACAGTAAGACTCAAAGTATTGGTTTGTCTGCATCTTAAAATCATACACTTATAGCTCAGAGAGAATCCGTCACTTGCTCATAGCCACACAGCTGAGTGTTGTCAGTATGGGAACTCAGGAGACCTGATTTCAACGGGGGCACCCCAATTTGGATAGATTTGAAAGGTAAACTAGTCATGTTTCCTAGGAAGTGAGCCATCTGAGAATCTTATGTTAGGAAAATTCATTACTTCAAAGTATTTTGTAATTCAGGAAATATATATATAGATCCATCAAACTTGGAGCAGACTATAACTATACGGTTGTTTCTGATTAGAGCAAAATAGACTAAACAAAATAAGAACCTCACTGAGACACATGTACACAATGACAACTTTGCAGCTTGCACCATGGGCATCTTGGAAAAGAGAGGAAAGAGTATTTATATGAATATTGATTATTGTGACCCATATTTTACAATGAACTGCTAGGAATTAAAACTGCTAGTTTTAATTCCTTTTTTAAAGTATATTTTTATTTTAGAGTAAGTTTAGATTTACAGCAAAGCTGCCAAGATAGTAGAGTTCCTGCATATCCTTTAGTGGGTTTGCCCTGATGCTGATAGCATCTTACACAGTTATGGCACATTATTCAATGCAAAGAAATTAACATTGGTACTGTGCTGTGAAATAAACTCCAGACTTTTTTTTTATTTCACCATTCCTCTACTTACACCCTTTTTCTGTCCCAGGATCCAGTCCCGGATGTTGAATTGCATTTCGTGACCACGTCTCCTTAGTCTCTTCTGGTCTGCGACAGTTCTTGGTCCCGCCTTGCTTTTCATAACCTGCATCTCTTGGTTGGGGTGATGTCAGCCAGGTCTCTCCGCAGTGCTTACTGTTTTTCACTTTCCACACTCTGTTCTTTGGAAACACGTCACTAAGTCCAGTCTGTGCTCGAGGGGAGGAGAGACTAAGCTTCTTCTCCTGGATTGGGGACTATCTACACAAAGAACCCATGTCTCCGTGTCTTCTTTGTTCATTGTCTTTTCACTATACGTCGCCTTCTTTTGCAGAGTCTCAGGTTTATTTCCTGCCTTTATTCCTGTCTCTCTACTCCCTTCCTGTAATTTTTTTTTAAATTCTTCCTCTTAAAGAAGAAAAAATTTCTTCTTCCTCTTCCACCTAAAGGCTGGGAAAATGGATCTCATTCATTGTGTTGGACGTTTGAATTGGTCTTTTGGACAAAGATCTCTACGTGCACAGTCTTGTAAAGGTGATCACTGTATTTGTTGGGCATGGTGGGGGGGCGGGACTGGAAACCGAACACACAGCCCATCAATCGGTGAATAACGAAATGTGTTACATCACTGATGTGGACACTTAATGCAGCCATTAGGGATTTCTAAATTGTATTGTTAATTGATAAATGAAAACGATACAAACATGCATGTCTACTTTTTAAAAACAATGACAAAACAACCCCTATGTGTTTTTATGTGATTATAAGAACATAGGATTTTAACACTGTGCCATGAAATGCGGGAAGGGAAGACGCCCTGCGTGGCGACTGCAGCCTGTCTGTGTGGGACTGGTCTGTGCGTCTGTCTGTGTGCGTGAACGGGCGCGTGAAAGCAGTCGCCCGCGAGAAATCTGGTCAACATTCACCCTTTCCTCTCTGTCGTCCTCTCACCTAATCAGTCTCACAGTCTGGGGGATTTTCCAGCACTTCTTAAATGTTTTTCCTGTTTTTCATTTTTTTCTACCATTGCCTTCATTATCGTCTCTGCTTGGGGGACAAACAAAGCCCCCTAAATGGCTTCTTGTCTTGAGCCTCAGGCACCTCTGATCCGTCTCTGCCCCCTAGTCAAAGTAGCTGTGTCCAAGGATAGCTGACATGTAAACCTGAACGGCATCGATGCCCTCTTACCTCCACTACAAAGCCCAAACCCTTTGCCATGGTCCAAAGGCCTTGCAAGATCAGGACTCGGCTGCTCTTCCTGTCGTCACCCCCACGTCCCGAATTAAGCTCTGGCCACGCAGACGAGCTTACGAGCTTACGTTGTCCACGCAGGCCACGCAGACTGTTGCCCAAGGCCTGTGCTTGTGCTCTTACTTCTTTTTGGAGTTCTCTTCTCCTTCTGCTCCTCAGGCTCCCCTGCCTGGCCCCTTATTCTTTTAAATCTCAAGTCCGGTGGACAGCAGTGTGGTGTTTGCTGGGGGGAGGGGTATAAGGGGACTAAATGGTAATAGAAAAAAATATACAATAAAGATTAAATTCATGAGGAAAAAAACCTCATGTCTGGGGTCTCATCTACCAGAGAGTCCCCCCTGACCTCACCCTCAAGCCCTGGCTAAGCTCAATGACCCCCCTGAAGTACTTACCCTGTGTATTGTCATGAATTCTTGTGCAGTTCCTCTTCCCCACCAGACAAGGGAGGGAACTGATGTTTTCATCGTTGTAGTTCTAGATTACTCTTGTGCCTGGCTCTGTTTATTTGCTCCGTGATCGAAGGCCACCCCCTGAGCACTATCCCCCACCCCCACACACACACACAACCTGCACGGATCTTTAAATCATAACCAAAAAGTGGTTTCACGTTTAGATTTTAGGGATTCAAATAAACTTCACATTTAATAGATGGGGGAAATGTTTCATTTGGGTCATATATTGTGCCTGTAATGCAAATACCATACCAGATTAAAGAGTGAGATTTGGGATTGTAAAACAAACATGTTCGCTCAATGTTTAAATCAATCTATATCTTCATTAAGTAGTTGTGTGTCATCATGGTATTTATATTGTGGCTTTTCAAATTATGGTACATTGCTGTCAGGAAGTTTTAACGGTGGCAACACAGTTGTTTAGATTGTCCCCTGAGAGCAGAGTGCAGTTGTGAAATACTGACTTCTGCAGGTACAGATAGGGGTGGTCGAAACAACTAACGTGTGACTAATAACCTGCAGGAGGTGGTACCCAGGGCCTAAACGATGCCGCACGCTGGGAACCAACAAGTGCCACAGAAGTACTGGGTTGGGTATTTGGGGCTAGTTGTGCCCTTTTTGCACCTTTTGTATATAGTTGAAAACTATGTGTTAATTCCCAACCCCAGCCCGAGGCAGTGGCTAGTTTCAGCGTGGAGTAATAGAAAAGTGCATTTTTTGGACCGATTTTCACAGTACATGGAAAGAGACTCTTAAGTGAAAGGAACGAGAGTTGCTGGTACACGCTGCAGAAAACCAAACTGTCGTCTCTGATTGAACGATTAGGACACAAATTACACCCTTTCACGCCAAAGTATTACAGCTCCTGCTTCCAAAGAGACTCTCTCCACTGGTGGTTTTTCCACTGTAGCCAGTTTTGCTTTAGAGAACAGCAGTTTGAAAAGTCAGTGCTTGTAACATTGAACAGGGTAGAGTTTCTGATGAGGTATGTCAGCTTAAGATGAGTATTTATGTTTTTAATGCTGTGTCAGTCACTTTTAGTGTCAATGATTTTATTTCTTTCAGTGGCCCACTTCCCAGTTAAAAGGTTTTTTTAACAGTCACATGATGAATTATGTAATATGTGGTTTACTTTTCCTACTGCAATTACTTGTAAAAAGGAGTTTTATAGAAATAATAGGCTATAGAAGTGATTATTATGAACTGTGATTATATACTGGTTGTTTTCAGCAACGATTTTTATTCACGGTGAAGGGAATGTTTCTTTCTTGAAGATGTACGATTAAACAAAGTCTATCAATACTTGTCTTCAGCTTTCATTTTAACAGGACAGCCACACTGAAAAATCTCTCTGCAAACAGTGTATTTGTATGTAGAATTTCCAAGTGGCTCATGTCTGTGAATATAATTGCATGATCCACTACTCATGTGAAGTATCACCCAGTGGCATTGTGTGGTGTGAGTAACAACCACACAGGGGCCGAACTAAATGTCTTTAAGAAACAAAAACTTAGATTCTAGAAGGGGACCATCTCATTTTTTTGTTTTCTTTTCAGTGCTTTTAAATTCCTTCTCCAAAACCCATTCTTCAAGGTGCTACAAAAAGCATCCTCCAGAATAAACTATGGGTGCTCGCAGTGAGTTAGGGATAATGAGATTCTAATAACCAAGAAACTTTCACATCTCCTACCTCCCTGCACCTGCCCCCATCCCCACCCCTGCGCCAGGAAGACGTAGCTGCTCTTCGTATGTTCTGCTGCTGTTCAGATTATCTTTTTTTTCCCCCACAGTGACCTTGAGCCTGAGTGGCTGGACAGTGTGCAGAAAAACGGAGAGCTGTTTTACTTGGAACTGAGCGAGGGCGAGGAAGAAAGCCTGCTTCCCGAGCCACCTGTGGTGAACCATGTCCGGTTCAGCGAAAACGAGATCATTATCAAAGAGGATGATGACAGGGAAGGGAAAAAGTATGAGCCCAGACTCAAGCGGTTCACCAACATTTTAAAAAGTAAACGACTTTTACCCAAGCGCCACAATAAGAAGAACAGCAAGGACAGCGGCCCAGTCTCCATTCTAAAGCACCAGTCCCACCAGAAAACAGGGGTCCTTGTCCAGCAGAGGTACAAGGACGTGAGCGTGTGTGTGAACCCCAAAAAGCTAACGGTCACCAAAGCCAAAGAGCAGCTCAAGCTCCTGGAAGTGCTGGTTGGGGTCATCCATCAGACCAAGTGGAGCTGGAGGCGAGGCGGAAAGCAGGCCGGCGGGGAGAGGCTGGTGGTGCACGGCCTGCTGCCGGGAGGGCCGGCCATGAAGAGCGGCCAGGTGTTCATCGGTAAGTGCCTCTGCTGACCGTCTGTCCTCGTGTCCTTGTTTGCTGCGAGGTGTAGTTAGAGGTGCCTGGTGAGGAACGTGATCAAACAGAGTTACAACCGGCGTCTGAACAGACTCTGGACTGCGCAGGGACACTTGGGACAGGGATGATGTCATTAAGGGTGCCATGCCGCCAGGCCCAGTGTCCTGGAAGGAAACTAAAGTGCTTCAGTGCCTTTAGCATGTGGGTGCACCGCCTTGCTTAGGCCAGGGGAGAGCTCAGCTGATTTTTGAGTTTAAAATTATATAATTTTATGTCATCTCTGTTCTTGAAACACTCGTGGTCCCTGGCTCTCAGTCCGTGCTTAGCCAACACTGCTTTCTGTGTCTAGGAGGGAGTATTCATTTTTACTGCTGCTGTGACAAATCACCACAAACTCAGTGGTTTAAAAGGGCACAGATTCATCATTGTGCAGTTCTGGAAGTCAGAAGTCTAAAATGTTTCTTCCTGCACAAAAAAAAAGTGCCCACGGGGCTGTGTTCCTTGCAGAGATTCCACAGGGAATCCCTTTCTTTGGCCAGCTTCCAGAGGCCACGTGTGTTCTTTGTCTTGCAGTTTTCTTCCTGCATCTTCAAAGCCCATGGTGAAGCACCCTCAAGTTTCTCTTCTCTGACTCTGGCCCTCCTGTCTCCCTCCTATAAAGACCCTCCCTTGGGCTCACTTGGGTCTTCTCCCCACCTCAAGGCCCTTAACCTAACTAAGTACATCTGCAAAGTCTCCGTTGCCACAGCAGGGTAATGCACTCCCAGATGGCAATGTGGATATCTTTGGCAGATGGTTACTCTACCACAGTGGGTTGGAGTTTTTTTGTGGTTTCTGTTTGTTTTGGTAAGACCTATTCTTTCTTTTCCCTACATTTATGTGTCATTTGTTTCAAAAGTAATTTCTTAAACTGTATACTCGTTTCATGTAGTATCACAGAGCAGGGCACAAACAGAGCAGTAAACAAACTTTTGCATATTCTCATGGCCCGTGGTGCCTCATGTAGTAGCCCTTCGGGACGCATTTGCTGTTTGCCGGATGCTAAAGGATTGATAGGTTTTCCCAAACAATTAACTTTACAATGGGGAATTGATGTAAGCACTGTGATAAACTGATCTCACCTCTTTATGCTGTATTTGATCCTCGACTGTATCTCTTGATAAATGTTTCTTCTTTTTCCTGCCCACCAATAATCCCTAGACCATTTCTTATTTAACAATTGAAAACAATTCATACAGCTGAATTCCTTTCAGCCATTGAAATGGGACAGTACACTCTGGCTGGCGTAGCTCAGTGGATTGAGCGCGGGCTGCGAACCAAAGCATCGCAGGTTCGATTCCCAGTCAGGGCACATGCCTGGGTTGCAGGCCATGACCCCCAGCAACCGCACATTGATGTTTATCTCTCTCTCTTTCTTTCTCCCTCCCTTCCCTCTCTAAAAATAAATAAATAAAATCTTTAAAAAAAAACTTAAAAAAAAAAAAGAAAGAAATGGGACAGTGCGTCCTGGTGAGTCCCCTGCACGTGTGGAGAAAGAACTTTCCATGAATGCAGCTGCCAGCTGCCGGGACGTGATGCCCCGGGCGCCTGCCTCCTCCCAGTCGCCTCACGACAGGCTCAGGACACTCGAGGAGGCAAATCCCTGGGAGAAGGAGAAGCGGATGTGACACGGCTTCTACAGAAATAAAATTTTCCTTTTAAAGATACTTCACTACATGTAACTCTAAGAAGTATTTTCGGATCTTTTAAGATGGTACCTGTCTCCCACTCTCAGAGGTTGAGGGACACGACACTTTCAGGTGACACTCAGCCGCAGGACTGCATTCGTCGGGGTTCGGAGAAGAGTCATCTGGAACATCATCCAACGGAGTTTTGGTTTAGAGGAGCAAGTTTTACATGGTGTCACTGTGCAGGTGTTCCGATCATCCTGTGGACGACGGAGCCCATAGATAGGATGGTGTAGAGGTGGTTTTGTCTTGTGTCAATACTCCAGTATCCTTCATTGTTTCTTTTAAAAAATCTATAGCTACAAATCATTTGATACAGTATACTTGTTTAATCTCCTATTTTTTTTAAAAAAATGGCTACGCTGCTTCCCCCTACCATTACGTTAAACTGAAGTTGGAAGTTTAGTTTGCAAGTTCCTACTTTTAAGAGAAGTGGCCGGGCTGCGCGGAGGGCTGCTGGGGTCGGCCGTCACGGTGCCTCAGCGCCCCCCGCACCTGCAGAACTGTGAACCGAGCAGCCGGAGCCCTGGGGCAGGCTGTCCAGGGCCCTCCCGCACTGACCTGCAAGGTCCGCCCGCTCACTCTGCGCCCGGCTCTCCCCTGTGCTGGAGTGCCGGGGAGAGCTCGGGAGGCTGCAGAGAGGAGGGGTAGCAGAGATAATGGGACAGCACTTCCACCTGCTCCCCAGCCCTCGCTCCCAGGGCAATGTGAAGAGGGCCAGGTGACCCTGCACACACACCTGTAGTGAGTCGTATCAAAGGGAGAGGAACGGGGACCTTAAGGAACGTGAATCTCCTGTAAGGAACAAATACTGATAATAAGGTACTGAGGGAATGCTGTCCCTACAGTTTGTAGGTTGAACAAACTTGACTTTTTCTCTGGAGGGAGACACTGTCTTTGTCACCCAAGGCTGTTCGGTATACAAGGGAGGTCCACCCAAACACGGAATTTATTTATAAAAAAATTGCATGTTCTTACATGTTTAAACTTCAGTCACCTTCAAAGTATTCTGCATTTGATACAATACACCTATCGAGACATTTTTTCTACTGCTCAAAATGCTTTTCTGAACTCGTTCATTTTAATGCCTTTTAGTGCTTCTGCCTTTTTTTTGGTTTCATCTCTTCCACACTGGCAAAGCATTTCATTTTGAAGACTTTTTTCATCCAGGGAAACAAGAAAAGTGGCTTAGGGTAAGATCAGGTGAACAGGGAGGGTGGGGCATGGGGGGTCATGCTGTTTTGGGTCAAAAACTGTGGGCAGGTGCACTTGTAAATCACCCATCATGAAATGGGCAAATGCATTGAATGAGTCTCCAAAAAATAAATTCACTGAAGCCAGACACAGCCTCTCACAATAACACCAGCTGGTACACTGACACAAATGGGTTCCCAGAACACTTACCTAGCGGAGGAAGCCTGTATCACAAGGGGCCTGCCCTCCAGAAGATAATTCCAGTTTTTTGGATGGAGGGTCCCCCTCATGCAAGCATCCTTAAAGGATAAGCCAGAACAAAGACTCTCAGTGCTGTGGGTTGCAAGATGTGCAAACCATGAGAGACCTGTCTATCTAAGTGGAGAATTGTCTATCAACACTATTTTATCTATATACATGTTTATTATCCATCTTCCCCAAAGAATATTAACCTCCATGAGAGAATTATGTGTAATTCAGTTCTCTATCTGCAGTGCCTAGCACACGGTAGGTGCTCAATGAGTATTTGTTGGATGAATTAATGAGTGGATAAGTATGAATTATTTGATCAGATCCCTAATGATACGTTTATGATGAGAAATAACCTTGTTATGTATATATTTCTATTACTATAGCTTACTGGTGTTTTGCTACTACTTTTAATTGTGATGTGAAAGTAAATTTCCATCTTAAGACTGATCTTTTTTTATATCAAAGCCCCCAAATTTATAAACATACAAATTTAAAGAAAAACCATTTCAAAGGAGATTTTTACCAAAACATGCTGTGGATTTTGATACGGTGGGGCCTTGGAAACACAGGGCTGTGTGCAGACGCAGAGCCATAACAGTGAGCACCACAGCGTATTGAGTTACGGCGTACCGCAAGGATTTATTTGAATTGCAGCTGAACTTTTTTACTACGGGCGTAAGTGGTTAGATTCGGTTTTGTTATGTGCAGATACTTGGTTTATGCTACAAATTTTCCGTTTGTCATTTGGGCTTACATAATTCTTCTAATTGTCTCAAAAATGAGAATATTCCTGTCTTTAAATAGTCATAGGTTGTGTTCAGTCATGGTGCAATGTTAGGCTGAATTACAGTTTAGGAAAGAGTGTGGTGGGAGATTTGCTCTGCCACTAATGAGCTTTATAGCCCTGGACAAGCCCCTGAATGTCTGCACCGTATTTTCCACTGCACTTCAAAGAGGTCGGAATAGATGCTTTGTAATGTCCCAATTCTAGGTCGTTCTGGTTTGGGGATACTCACACAGCTCTCCTCTGCTGTTGTTCTTTTTTCAGGCGATGTCCTTGTTGCCGTGAACGACGTGGATGTGACTTCTGAGAACATAGAGAGAGTGCTGTCCTGCATTGCCGGACCTATGCAGGTACGGACGCTCTTTGGGCCTTGTGATGAATTACATAGGTTAAGTGCGTCTTGCGCTATTTTCTTTCTTTAAGATTCTGGAAATTGTCATGCTTAATGGGTGAGCTCTACTTACATACTTGGGTATTTAAAACATTTTAGATCTCGTTAACATTTTTAGGTCTTGGAGCGTGTTCTTGAAAGAGAACAGTATGTCCTGACTGGTGTGGCTCAGTGGGTTGGGCGTCGTCCCGCAAAGCTAGAGGCCGTGGGTTTGACTCCCAGTCGGGGCACATGTCTGGGTTGCGGGTTCAGTCCCTGGTTTGGGGTGCACACGGGAGGCAGCCTATCAATGTTTCTCTCTCTCGCATTGATGTTTCTCTCCTTCTCTTTCTCCCTCCTTCCCCCCTCTCTGAAAAATAAATAAATATCTTTTAAAGAAAGAGTGAGAGATAGGATTTTCAAATAAAACTTATCCTAAGTAAAGCAGGAACAAGAACAATAATAAAAACATACATATTGACCAACTTGCCATTATAACTACCATTTGTGCTGATGAAAACCCAGTTCCTAGAAAAGTCATTTTAAACAGTCATGGAACTGTCTGTTCTCTGACTTGTTAAAGTCATTATTGCTATCAAGTTTTTTTCTGTGGCTTTATTTATTTTAAAAACCATGCTCTTCTCTTGATTTTTCTGTTAAACCTAGTTTAGCCTTACCCCTGAGCTTTTGTTTAGCTATTTACTGTATTATGTTTCATTCTTTATAGGTGAAAATAAATCTCTTTCATATTCAGTGATTTTGATACTTCAAGCGTTGATATTTTTGTATCAGGGATGGCATTTCCGGTCATTAGATGTATTGTGACAGTGCTGCACCTCCTATGTAAGAATGTTCTGCCATTGTTGGCCTCAGGAAGTGGCTTTCTCCCTTTTGAGGGGTGAGGAGGACCTGTGCTTCCGACGGCCGAGAGACTCCGTCAGGTGGTGGTGAGCAGGTGACGCGCTTCTGGGGACTGATCGGGGGAACAGAACCCCTGACAAATCAGAATCTGATCTGCACCCGATCTGAGATTCTGACATACGAGGACACATGATGAAATTTCTTGTTTTCTAAGAAATAGGATTTCCCTGTACTCACCGCCTTCTGTTAAATCAGTCTCCCTCTCCTTCTCTCTGTCCGTCTGTCTGTCTACCTTGCTCCCTCCCTCCATTTCTCCCTTTCTCAATTTAGCTACCTTTAGAAATGTAAAATTAAAAGTTTAGCAGATTTGCATTTTAGGAGTGTATCGTTCTGGGTGGGACCGGAGGCTGGGCAGCCAGGTGGTCCGCTTTGGAGCGGTCTGGAAGAGAGGCGATGAAGGTTGAGGTGAGGTGTTGGCTGAGGATGCACAAGAGGAGGGGATTCCGTTCAGACAGGTGGGAGGCGAAGAGGATAGTTCTTCCTGCAGGACGGAGAGGAGTCCAAGGTGCCTTCCAGGTTGCATCCGAAGTAATTCAGTGAGACTGCCCAGAAGGGGCAGAGGGTTGAGGAGAGGGAAGGTGCTTGTTAAATGGGATGGGTTGCAGACAGACGTAGAATGAAGGAACATTAAAACAACAAGATTTTGGAAGTGATGAGTTACAGAGAAGATGTCCTCAGACCTGAGAAAGGCGCATCTTCTCCCATGCTGGGAGAGGAGGAGAGGAAGGACGGACAGACTGTGCAAATCCAAAACCATTTTGAGGGAGACAGGAGGTGGGGAACCGTGAAATGGGCCACGTGTTCATCTCTGTGGAAGAACAGGAAACTTTTTTTATGAGAAGCTTCATATTAACGATCTTAGTTGTTTTAAAGGGTTTTTTTTTTCCTGCAAAACACATAATATCCTAACGTTTACATGTATCAACCCCCTTTTGGAAAATAGCACTTAACTCCCAATTTGGTTGTCTGTCTCACCCTTTATTACTTTATCGAGGCAACCAGGTCTCCCAGCGCTTCCAGCACTTAGCCTGTAAGCTTCTTCAGAATGTCTTGCTGAAGCGTAATTATCTTCGAGTTATAGAGCCCACCGGACTTAAATCAGAAGAAGGGTGGCTACAGTAGTTCCCCGAAGGATCTTAACGGCCAGCCCTCTGGCGTGTGCATTGGTGTGAGTCTGTCCCGGCGGGGACAGGCCCTCGCACCGCAGAGAAGCGCTGCCGTTTGCCAAGTGTCACAGTCACGCTGGTCTTCCAGGATCCGTTCTTCACGAAGCACAGCAAACCGCTCTTACATTTTAGGCTGCTGCTGCTGCTGCTGCCTGAAGTAAGATGGGTGAAGTGTTACTTTAAGCCTACAAGTCGTTTCCTTTTGTCGTTGCTGGGGAATCACGCCCCTGTCCTCAGACCGCTCTGCTGCGGGAACCTGGGCTGGAGAGGGCTGGGAAGGCTGCCTCTCTTGTTCTGAGGTTGCTCTCTCTCTCCAGGGGCCGCCTTCCTCCTGCGCTCCCAGCACTGCCCGCAGACCCAGCCCGTCTCTGTGACACCTGCTTCCCTAGGGTGTCTGCCGCTCCTCTGTGCTCCCGACAGCCAGGGTTCCCTGCCTCCAGGCCTCCCCTGAGCCCAGAGCCCGCCGTCGGTCCTGTCTGTGCTGTCACAAAGTCTGTGCTCAGGATTTCCCCAACTTCTAGGTTTCTTACATTTCCAAGGAACACCCTCAAAGGCTCCCGTGAATTTTCTTTTGGACGTTCCTAAATCATTCACCGATAAGAGAAGCCCCCGCCCACCCAGCCGTTTACTTCCTCAGAGCCTGCCCGAGGGTTTTATGTGTTCACGCTTACGTTTGTATTTGTTTTCTTGCACACAAATATTGAGCATCACCGACCGCGACAGATGCCACCCTCAGAGGATGGTCTATCAGGCCATGTAATGCTTACAGGTTGCTCGTTGGGGCCAAAACCGCATACCAAACACTGTTTTCACATCCTGAATGCATTCCTGAAAGAGTGTGTTTTCAACTCTTCCTCACCTTAACCATATGTCAGTTTCCATCACAGAAATCTTGACTGTTCCCATGTAGAATCTGTATTTTTAATTTATTTTTTTAATTTGCTTCATATTTCTGCTCCCCCCAAAATATACTAATTTTATACTCAGCCTTCTAGTGAAAACTACTTTTAGTCAAGGCACACACTGGTGCTGTGGAAGGAGCGAGTTCTCTTTGGCCACCCTAGCGGCATCTCTCCTTTTCCAAGGAAAGGTAGCCGAGGAGCGGAAGCCCCTTCCACATCCTGGACGCTGACCAGTCTGGTTTGACATCAGGCCTTGAAATGAGAACCGCCCTGGTACAACTGATAGATAATCTTTCTTAGGGCCGTGGGCCAGGTCCCAGCACGCTGATGGTTCTTCACTGTCCTCAGCGTGTATTCTAAAGGATGTCTAAGAGAAGGGTCCTTGAGCCTCACCTCACTTGGAAGGAGCGCCGGTTCTGGTTGACTGAGGTCACTTTTAATCCTGAACCTCCTCCATCACTTTCCCCAGACGAGTCGGTGCTACCAGTGCCTGTAATGTGGTGCTAGCCTTTCCCACACTGTCAGATCGCACTGATTTTTGTCCTTCTGGAGCATTTCCTGTTCGTGGGATAATGTGTGCAGGACACTGGGCCGGAGCCGAGACACGACCGTGAACAGAGTGCGCGGCCCCTGCCCCCCAGGAGCCCACGCTGCCAGGAGGCGTCGCTGCACGCCGTGCATGCCTGAGAGTGTGTGTGTGCGTGTACAGAGCCTCCTTTGCAAAAACCGCAGCTGATTTCCCCTCGGTGAAACATCAACACCAACACCAACACCAACACGTTGTTTTAATGTGCAAAGGTGAAACTGACGTTTGAAAACGCATATGCCGTGAAAAAGGAAGCAGCGCAGCCGACACAGAAGAAGGCGCAGCTGAACACTGAGGGGGACTTGGTCAAGCTTCTCTGGGGAGAGGAGGTCGGAGGCTCTGAGCAGAAGGTGCTCCACACGCCGCACGCCGTCCTGTATCTCACCCTGGAGCTGGACTCCGAGACGTCGAAGGAGGAGGTGAGTGTCCCCGCCGGGTGCAAGGGAAACACGGAGCGACCCTGCGTAGTCTTCCAAGGGAAGAAGACACAGTTTCTCGGTCACTCCGTGTCTTTGTTCTCGGTACGTTCTTTCTTCCAACTGACTGGCTCAACGAATCCATTCGTGGAGATGTGAATTTGTGTCTGCTGTCTTCTTTGAAAATCTCTTTGCACGGATTGCTTCGTGATAGCTTGGTTGCTTGCGTCCTTATTATTCTTGTTCTGTACTCTATTTCTGTTTTTGTGTGAATACTCTTAACATTTTATCACGTTTGTCTTCACACATCCTAAAGGTAAACACGGTCTTCGCCCCTTTCCAAAACGAGGCAAGGCCCTGCACATGCCCTCGCCGCAGTCACCCCCGTCCGCCCACACGCTGTTGTCTCCGGTGTTTTAGTGCCGTCATTTTTTCATCCCACAAATTGGGCATAGTTGTACTATTATTAATAATAATTATTATTCTAGTGTATACTTTATAAACTATAAATTATGTATTATCAAATTCACGTTTCACACGTGTTTCCCGGAAATGGGCCTTCTTTAAATTTATCTGCACGCTTACCGATTTCTCCGTGCACCATTCTTCCTCACATCTGGGACTGTGCTCACCAGGTCGCTTTTTCTTTCTCCCCAAACAGGTATTTAGGAATTTCTTTTTAGTGAAAGTATGTGTGTGATGAGTTGTTTTCGGTACCTCCCTGTCAGTGTGGTTTTCACCCCTTCTTCCGTATTGAATTAGTCAGAAGAGGCCACTGGCCCTCCTGTCTCAGCGGCTCAACATAATTTTCTCACTTCAAAGCAAATGTTCCTGGCGATGCAGTTCATCTAGTGGTTCCCTTATTCCCAAGAGCTTCTGTGTCCTCTGCTGCATCTTCGGCCTCCAGTTGGCCATTGCAAGAAGGGAGGAAGCATGCAAGAAGGGAGGAAGCATGCAGCGACCCATGGCACATTCCAGAGGGCTGGCTTCAAAGCAGCACCATCGCTTCTGCTCGTGTCCCAGCACCTAGAGCTAGTTATGGGGTCTCCCCTGATGCAAGGAGGTGAGAAGTGCAGTCAGGCTTCCTGTGTGGCCAGGAAGAAGAGGAGGTGGAGACATGGTCTTGCTTAGGCTAACCAGGCACAAAGCGATTTCTCCAATCTGTTCAAAGATAGCAATTCCTTAGTCTTCTGACTTCCATGCTTGCGGCTGAGAAGTCTGCTGTCAGTCTTTCCTCTGTAAGGAATGTCTTTTATTCTCTTCATCCAGTTTCTTCATTCTGCTCTGTTCATACTGTTTTTGAACCTCTCCATTGTGTTTTCTATTTTAACAGTCACGGTGTTATTTTTAGAAGTTTCTGAAAGTCTGCACTGCTGCTCCTGGCAGTCTCATTGCTTGCTCCTCTTAGTGAGTCTCTGTTTCTCTAAGCATTTCCTACAGAGTTCTTCTCTGTTCTGAGTCTGCCCATCCCACTATCTCTAAGTCCTGAGGGGACTCTGACTTGCGGTGGCATGCCTTCTTATGTCCCCGGAGGTCATTAGCTAAACTTACTGCTTGCTTTTATCTTTGGGAGCCCTGTGTTTATAAACCGGGAATGCGTTCCTCCAGAGAGAATTTGCTGCTTCTGCTTCTGCCACTGACCTGGGCACTGCAGCCTCACTCAAGGTTCTGGGTTTAACACACGGGTCTTAGGCTTCGCTCACCTCCTGAGCCACTAGCCCAACGCTCAGGGTCTTGATCAAAGCTATCGTAGGCATCCACCCTCGGGACAGCCCTTCCTCTGCCTTTCTGGCACACTCAGCACTCCCAGCTGCGGCCCCAGCTTGCTCTGCAGTGGTGGGGAAAGGGGTGTGGAGAGGACGTCCTTGGAAACCTCTCTACTTCCTTCAGGTCCAGCAGTTCAGACAGGCGAGCGTTGACCGTGCATCTGGCTGTTTCATAGCCCAAGGGTCTCTCGAGGCATCTGCTTCACCATAATGATTCTGCTCGGAGCGGAAGTGGGACCTGAGAAGTTTTTGCCTCATTTACATCTCTTTGTTTTTGAAATCCTCGCAGTCTGTATTCTCAGTGCCAAAGCCATTTTATCCCAGGGGTGTATTTCCATGTGTTGCTTCTTCATGTATCAAAATTTAGTCAGTAACTGGAATGGGAAAGTAGGGATTTGCCTATTCGTAGTTTTGTCACTTTTCTGTGTTCTGAAACATGCAAGACCTACAGTGAATTATCCTAATTTCTTGCATGCCTGGTTAATCCTTGGTATCTTTAGAACAAATGAGAAGTTGAAGCGTTTACTATCTAAAACACAACCAGTCTCTGGGATGGTAGCGCCCTGCCTCTGGCCAGGCTGTCTTCAAGCAGGGTACTGCTGGGGCCTTTTGTCGTCCTTGCCCGTCTTCCCATGGGAAAGTGTGCCGGCGTCTCCCAGTGAGCAGGTTTCGGTCTGCGGACAGCCCTGCATCAACACCGTGTTCAGCAGAGGCTTTTTCTTCTCGCTGAATAGAGTGGAAGCCGCCGCCGCCCATGCGTGCTGCTAACCAGTGCTGGCAAACGCAGCTAATTAAGCCGGTCGGGGGAATCGTGGGGCCAGCCGGGCCTTTCACAGCCAGGCTCCTGGGGCCGGTCGCCGCGGGCAGTGGGAATAGAGATTTTCTTAAAGGACCTTTTTTTTTTTTACCAGAATGACTTATTCTACAATAAAGGGTCATAGGGTCATTTTGTTTTCACGTGAGTTACATATTTCAGAAAAGCTTGTTTTCTTTGAGTTGCATGATTTGGGAACTTAACCAAAAAAAAAGGAAAGGAAATCACTTAACCAAAAGTATCAAAGGAAATAAGGTTATTTGTTCCCAGCGGTGTTTGTTATTTGGCTAAATGCAGTACGTTTATTTACTAGCCACGTTTTAAATGCATTACGCAGACATAACAGAAGATCTTACCTTAATATCCGACTTAATTTCTAGAGATAAAGCATTGAACTGTTTTTACACTAGAAACACTGTGAGGAAATTGGAGTTGTTAGGCAGAGTGTATTTGGCCAACTTATTCCATAGCAAGTTGCATATATTGAATGTGCTTATTCATAAGTATAAAAAGCAGATGTGTACAGTTTATTTATACTTTTTTGATTTAAAAGTTGCCAGGACATACACACCATGTGACATAATTATTTCTTGTAAAAAGAGATCAAAACAAGGCATAGAATACTCTTTAGAGAGAGAGAGAACCAGGGAAAAGATCTGGTAATGTTTCAGGAGATTGGGCTTTTATAGTGGCTATATTAATATTTATGTATATTGCCGTTCACCTGTATTAGTGGAAGCTACTCTGCATTCTCCAAGGTTTCTATCTGGAAGTTTTTTGTTTTGCCTTCTTTTTATTTGCCTTGTAAGAGGAATGGCACAGTGCTTTAAGTAACAGCAAATACGTGAGGTCCAGAATGATTCACCCCTTCGTGTAACAAACAGTTCTGGCACAGTACACATCCTGATTTCGGAATTTGTCATTTTGTGAAAACTGCATGTTTCCTGAGAGCATGGTTTTCTTGGAAGTAGAAAAGTAGTTAACATTTTGTGATTATCTTATAGATCTAGTATTTTTCCATAATTTGACATGTGCTGTCTTTTAAAGATTTCTTTCAGATTAATTGTAGTGGGCGAACTCTTTCCAATTTAAGACAGGTACAATTTTATAATATCGTAATGCTTCTTTCTCCCCATCTGCACCACTCTAATATCCTTCCATGTCCTCTTCCATGAAACTTTTTAATTTCAGTGTTGTTTGGGGTTTAAATATAGATTTAATCATTAATCATGAATTCACAAAAAATCACAAAAATTATCTTGTGAAAGTCATTAAATTTAAATATTCCTAAAAATTACATGTGGTATCTATGTAAATATTGACTACAGAAGGTAAAAATATTTGTACACTGAAATATAATGAAAATTATTGGAATTTCCTATAAAGGAGATTCAAGTTTAAAATGTGGTTTGAAATCAGCTGAAATTATTCCAGTTAATTAGTGTCCCACTCAGTATATATTTTGGTATTGTGACCAACTTTGATATTCTCTACCTTATTTCCAAGTGTAATATTTTAAATGCCAGTTAATGTGTTCAAATTCCAGGCATATTTCTCTTCTTACGTTTGAATGTAGCTCCCACTGAAGCTGAAAGGATTCTTTCTGTTGTTGTTGATGTTCTTTTGTTAATACAAAATCTGAACTTTCCACGACAAAAAAATAGTGGTTGGGATGTTTGGGGAGTGTGGTCATTTTTGTCTGTTTTCGTTTGACAGCAGGAAATCCTTTACCATTATCCAGCATCCGATGCGTCTCAGAAACTGAAGAGTGTGAGAGGGATATTTCTCACACTGTGCGACATGCTGGAAAGTGTAACCGGGACACGAGTTACTAGGTAATGGTTGGTTTTTGTTTCGCTTGAGTTCTTTTTCTTTCCAGTTCTTTGCCTTGATTCTGACAAAATGCTACAGAAGTCTCCAGTATCCAAATACACTTATTACATATTATACAAATAGGCAGATAAATCTACATGTACAGATATGTAATATAGATCTATCTGCAGATATTTTGTCTCTCAGCCAGGTTATTTCGTCCAGTCGTGTGTTTGAAGTGTAGGTTCCCAGCACCACTGCAGAGCTGGGTGTTTGGGTATGTTTTCATTCACAAAGCTGGGCCAGTGACCTGCACTTTAGAATTTAGTTCATGTAGGTGATAGATATCTCCTAAGTATGGCATTATGATGAGTCTAGGCTTTTTCATGTTTTTCTTTAAGATTTTATTTATTTATTTTTAGAGAGGGAAGGGAGGGAGAAAGAGAGAGAGAGAGAAACATCAATGTGCGGTTGCTGGGGGTCATGGCCTGCAACCCAGGTATGTGCCCAAACTGGGAATTGAACCTGCGACACTTTGGTTCGCAGCCCGAGCTCAATCCACTGAGCTACGCCAGCCAGGACTTTTTCATGTTTTTATCTTGATTGTTAACTTTCTGGGTGGGTAGTACCTTTGTGGTTGGTAAAATTGACTAAATGCTTATTCTGTATTCTTCTATCATAGTTCTTACAACACTGATAGAGAAAACAACATCTTTTAGGAGGCATATTCAGAATGCAGTGTCATCTGTGCACATTTTTTCAGTGATGGATAAGCAAGACTGAGGTCAAATCATTTTTGGGAAAATAAAATACATCATGTCATCAGTTATATAGCAAAATATCCCATTGCACAGGGATTTATGCAGCCCTGACCGTGAAGAGCCACAGTTAACTTACAGGAAGAGGGACCTCAAAGCTCTTAAGTTTTGTTTAGGGACTGGTTTCTCTTTTCATAAAATAAATTTGTGAACTATAAAACATTTTCTTCCTTAATATTTCAACAATTTTTTTTCTTTTTTCTTTTTTTTTAAGATTTTATTTATTTATTTTTAGAGAGGGGAGGGAGGGGGAGAGAGAGAGAGAGAGAGAGACATCAATGTGCGGTTGCTGAGGGCCATGGCCTGCAACCCTGGCATGTGCCCTGGCTGGAAATTGAACCTGCGACACTTTGATTTGCAGCCCGCACTCAGTCCACTGAGCTACGCCAGCCAGGGCTCAACAATTTTTGACTTTACAAAAAAAGTTTGTCTCAAAATTTAAGAGCCCTCAAATACGGATAAAATGTCAGATTTCCTGTGCTTCAACTTTTCTTTTTTCATTTTTCTGACACCTCTGTGGTTTTATAAGAAGTAGGATCTACAAAATAACAAGAAGAAAAATTCTCTTGTTTTTCTAAACACAAGTCATGTTTAGCTGTGGGACTTTTAATGTAGTGTGCATATAGAAAATACTAATTTTCTAGACACTAGGAATGGAGGTTCCATTTGGTGTATACATTTTGCCTACATTTGGACTCATAAACTCAGGCTGCAAGCCCCCCTTTTTTAAAAAACAGCCTTATTGAGATCTGGTTCACATTTCATACAATTCAGTGGTTTTGTATATTCTCAGATACACCCAAGCATTCTGATCCAATTTTAGAACATTTCAGTCACCTCAGAAAGCAACCTTGAACCCTTAGCTATCGGCCCATGGACCCCGAGCCCCAGGCCCCCACTCACCTGGGCTCTGTGTCTGTAGATTCCCCTTTTCTGGACATTTTGTGTGAATGAATCATCATATGTGGTTATTTGTCACTTCTCTCACTTAGCATAATGTTTGCAAGGTGCAGGATCCTTTCTAACCTTTTTTTTTTTCCTGTAATATGTCTAATTTTTTTTTAGTTTTTATGGGTTTTAAAAACTATTTCAGAATATATTTTTGTTGTTACACAATTCTTTGGCAGTTAGGGATATGAAAAGAAATATGCTTATTAAACATATGTTTCTTAAATCATACTATATGCAATCTTTTCTGAATGACTATTTATAGTTCTATAACGTTTATAGATATTCTAAATTTATTTTGACTTTCTATTTTTTTCTTAGCTCATCCCTTCTTTTAAATGGGAAACAAATTAATGTGGCTTATTGGAAAGAATCTGACAAGTTATTGTTAATTGGCCTGCCTGCTGAAGAGTAAGTTGAGATTTTTATTTACCTTAAAAAGCCATTTCTCGAATATTACTTACAAAGTCTGTTTCATTAAAATTATGGCATTTTCGACATTTTTGCGAACTCCTGAAACAGCTGTACAATCTGAAGGTCTTTTGCGCTGGTGCAATGGCTGTGAGTGTCCCTGTGGTAAGAACTCTGCAGACAGGGGCCAGAAGGGCCCCCTGGTGAAGGTGGGAGCTGTCATTCACTCTTCTCAGCCATATGGCCGGCAGGTGGAGGCAACTGAGAGACAAGCGTGTCCTCTGGCCGACTTTGGACGAGACCGTAATTAGGAGTTTGCCCGTGTACAGTTTTTTGCTACTGAGACTTTGAATTGCGGTCAGCAAAAAGGTGTTTGCCCTGGTCTTGAGCACCTTTGGCAAAATAAGGAATATTTAACCCTAAAGTGACTTCTCTAATAGTACATCTTATCGTGCTATCATGGTCTCCCATGGTCTCCAACTTGCTTGGATTTTTTAAGTATATCTTTTTCATTTTGATAGTTGGAGGTCAGAGCAGGGTTGATATTGATAATGATGTGACCGTGAACCGAGGGACTGTGTTAGGTATTTTACATTCGTAAACCAGTCTCCTTTATTCTTCAAAATCAGCTCCAATGGACTTGACGGCCGTTGGCCCCTTTCTATACATGAGGAAAGTAGAACAAAGAGAAGGTTAAATGACTTGCCTGAAGTCACATAATCAGCAAGCAGCAGCACTGGAAATTGAACAAGTGTCCGTCTGAATTCTGAGCACTAGATCACTTCCCTAGTGTCTTAGCACAGGGGAAGCAGGGGGACGGAGGGAGGAGTCTGGAGAACAGCCCCAAGGAGATGGACTTAACTCCTGGCAGACTGTTCTGTGTCCCTGTTCAATGCTTTATAAAGCTTGTAATTTAGACATGTGCCTACTTTAAGAAGTAATTGGTCAATTTCTATGAAACTATTATATGGACTTCAGTTTTTCCTGTTGGTCCATAGAACCGTCACAGGTTGTCTAACAATTCGGAATCAAATGTAAAACGAATAGGGCGGCATGTAACTGCTGCAGCTTTAGAGAACACCACTGTGAACGAATCTTTCAGTCAATCTGAACACAATGAACACTCTGGCTATGACTATAGTCTAGGTACTAATGCCTATTAACCAGGTTTCTTCCATTATATAACAGTGTGTTCGTTATCTATTCCTGCTTAACAAATCAGCCCAAAACTTAGGGACTTAAAACAGGAAACGTTGATCATCTTACAGGTGTGTCTGTGGGGAGGGAGTCCCTGAGCACCTTCGCTGGGTGGTCCTGGCTCCGGCTCCCTTTTCTCTGCGGCTGCGGTCCAGCGGGAGCCCGGGACACAGCCCGCAGGCGGCTTACGCTCAGGGCCACCGCAGGAGGCCTCGGCCCCACGCCACCCGGACCTCTCCGTGCAGCTGCTGGAGCCTCCGCACACACGACATGTCAGCGGGCTTCCCCCAAAGCAAGATCCAACATAGAGAGGGGCGGGGAAGCCGCAAGACACTTTATGACTTAGTTTTAGAACAGATACCCTATCATTTCCACTATTTGCTCTTAGCTAAAGTGAGTTTCCAAGTCCTGCCCACGTTCAAGGGGAAGGAGTTAACTCCGCCTCTTGTGGGGGAAGCGTATCAATTTATGGACATGTTTTAACACCGCAAACAGGAACTCCAAAGTAAGCTACGGTGGGAAACATTGAAAGGATATGTTTTGAAGGTGACTGTAGCCTTCAACAGAGATCTGACCAGTTGTAAATGTGGGGTTCAAACTTCTTCACATGAAGGGATAATGGTGCGGTGACAAACCCTAGATGGTGGCTGTCTTGAAACAGCTCGTGTGTACTTTTCTGTCTAAAAGGGAGCTATGGTCGTCCCTTGCCATCCCCAGGGGATTGGTCCTAGGGCCCCACGTGGATACCGAAATCCGTGGGCATCCAAGCCCCTCACAGGGAATAGCATAGGACCCTTCTGGGAGACTGCCCAAGGCCCACGGGCCGGGTTATGGAAAGCTCGGCTGCTCAGCTGGTGTGGGTTTACAAGGACTGTGGGACATCCGTAATAGGGCACTTGAGGGTGCAGTGGCAGGGGAAGCATTTGCCTTTAGACGTCTGGAGAGGCCCACGGGCAGAAGAAAAATGAAATGCAGTGGCAGCTAAAGGTACCATAGGCGGTCAGAGAGGGAGAGGAAGGCCCAGCTAAGGAACTGAGCAGAGGCTGTAAACTTGATCTGCGTCTCTTAGGTAAGTATCATGTGATTGATTGTATTGTAAATAAACAAGTGTGTTAATGCCTTTTTTTTAGAGTTCCTCTTCCTCAGCTACGGAATATGATAGAAGATGTTGCCCAAACCTTGAAATTTATGTATGGTTCTCTAGATAGGTAAGTATGTCTTTGAACTGAACCTCAGGTTTTAAGTGCATGATTCTGAATCAGCTTTTGCACTTGACTGCCATTCCTCGCTTGGCAAGTTAGTTGTCTGAGTTGCTCCCCCAATCCCTCCTATCCTATTTTACAGCTCTGCACAGTTTTTCATTCGATCCGTACTTTTTCTCTCTTGGTCTCGTATGTTACTTGAGTGAAATAAAGACGTAACCTCAGTTACATTCTGACTTGATATATTTCTGTAGGGGCAAATGTAAGAGCATTTTCCTAACAGAAGATTTTAAATATTTTTGTATGTGTGTGTTTTTCTCTGATTATATAACTCTATTGTCAAATTCACTATTCTAAAATCTGATATTTGTTTGTAAAAAAAATGTAAGTGAAAAAGTAGGCACTGTTAAAAACAAAAGACGCAATACGGAAGGTGTTAACTGTTCAGTTTCCTGTGTATCCTTCCACACATTTTCTATATGTGTGAGTACGCATGCTCTCTTTTTTACACGTGGGTTCATACTGTACATACTTTTTTTCTGTCTCTTGCCTTTTTAACCTTACAGCATAATATGATGCGTCTTTCTTTATCTGAAGAAGGATTTTTGAGGAAACTGTTCAATATTTGGTCACATAAAACTATGGATGGAAAAAAAAATTTTTCTCTTTGTGGGGTTTTTATAAGTCCCAATGCTTCAGAGAGCTAGAGTGATACCTGTGCTTTCAGAGCCTTAAACGTGTACGCACCTATGAGTCCAAGGACAGTTTCGGCATTTTCCCAAACTACAGTGGTGTCGGCTCTCTGTTATCTCTGTGGCTCTCGGCTGTCACTGTTCTCAGCGCAGCCGCCAGGAACGTTCTGTGACTGTGCCATCTGGGAAAACCGTCTGGTTTGCAGTGTCCTCCCCCGGGAGCTGCTGAGGAGATGCATTCCTCTGAAAACCAATTACTTACTCCTCAGCGTTTTCCAAATGTGTGAGCCACAAAAGGCCAGGCAGCCACAAACAGGGCTTTTGCCTTTTACTGATAAGGGAATCTTTAGCCAAGGAGGTGTCAGGGTGTGGTTATAAACTACTGCCTTAAATGTATACTAGATAAGCTAGCATTGCTCTGTTTTGCCCTGATTGGAGCTTTGTGTTTTTATAAAACGAGATAAGCGAAAGAATAAATCCCTGCAATAATGACTTCTGTTCAGAAGATAATTGGTTGGTGTTGCTGTGCAAATTTCAGTAGGCTGGAGCAGGTTGGAGGCAGAGCTTCTATCGATTTGGAAGTACCTCCAAGTTGGCAGCAATTGAGCTAGTTTCTCCTTGTTCCAGTGAGAATTTGAAAGGCAAACTAAGCAATAAATGTGAGGATACATTGGGTTCTTAAAACCAAAAAGCGCTGTGGATCCAATATGTTGTTAAGAGTCATTTTGCAATGATTTTTTAATAATAAGGATTTTTTTTTCTGATTATGGGAGATATGGAAGGCCCCTTGAGCCACAGAAAACTGATTATACGTGAAAAAAGGTGAGTGTTGTGACCCAATAAGGACAACAGTTGCCCTCCCCGTTCTCAGCCCGTCCACCCGAGAGGCCGCATCAGCCCATCGTCCATTCTCTCCACCTTCGCTGTTGCCCTGTCTGGCCATAACCATCTCTCAGCGCTCCAGTAACTCCTAACTGGTTTCCTTCTTGCCTGCATTCTTGCCACTTTCACGAATTTCTTTTTTTTTTTAAGTCTGATTTTTTATTGAATTTTTGGGGGGTGATATGGGTTTATAGACTTATATAGGTTTCGGGCATGTGATTCCATAACACATCATCTGCACATTGTATTGTGTGTTCACGGCCCCAAGTCAAGTCCACTTTAATTGATCTCCAAATGCAGTTCGAGTGGCCTCTCTACGTGACCCGGCTCCTGTCCACCTTTCTCGTTTCAGACCTCAAACCCCACCCAGCCCTCCGCACCGTGCTGCAGGTGTCCTGGCCACGCTTGTTCTCCCTTGGGCTTCTGCACTTTCCCTCTCCTTGGGACCTTCTTGACATGAGGACCTCGTTCTAATGTTGAGACGGTTGGGGAAAGAGGCCTCCTTCTCAGGGACTCTCCCCCCACCATTCCGTCTAAAACAGTCAGCCGGTCACATCACACATTCACACGGCCCTGCAGAGCCCTTTGTCAGAGGTCCCGTTCTTACTGTTCGTGCCCTTGTTGCCTTTCTCCACTAGCACGCGGGCTCCACTTGGTGTTTTCACTGCTGTGCCTCCAGCCATGAGAACAGTGCCTGGGGCACAGGAGGCGCTCACGTAATTTGTTGAATGAATCGATGAATTGTATTCTGACGTATACCAGTTACTGTGTTATCCAGTGGGCTCTTCCAGTGCGTGGTTGTGGGTGATGCTGCATTACTTTTGCATGGCTAAAACCAAGGCTCTCTCTCCCCCTCTCCAACAGTTATGCCTTCATTAGTAAAGAGGGGAGGAAATAACTTAGGCTAATTTGTGTGCTTACTAAGTAAGGAGCCTAGTATGTGCTCCTACTAATTGTATACTAGATACTTTACATGTGAATAGGAAATTCAGAGAAAGCTTAGATGGTTTTCCTTGTGATATCCACCTCGTAAGTGCAGGGCTAAGATTCAAGGCCGGATCTGTCCTATTACAAAGCTCAAAATCTCTGTTTTTCTATACTGCCTGCAAGATATTGAAAGTTGTAAATGGCTGTTAGTCAGAGGTAAAAACAACTTACATTTTTTGCAAAAAGGGTCCCTCAGCCCTTTCTGCTGTAGATAGGCCATTTATATTTGCCCCGTGGCGCTTCCATAGTACTGTCTACTCAGTGCATTTGAGAGTAGATTTTAAAGTAAAAACCATGACGGTGAATTTCTCAACACGGTCCATCAGTAACACCGTGGCGGTAGTCCTTAGGGATGTGGTGGGAAAGATCCAGTCCCCTTAGCAGCGTGCAAAAGACGGCCGGCCATTGCCACGTGCCGTTCTAACTCGGAGCTCTTGGTCCCTCAGTGCCTTCTGCCAGGCTGGGAACGCCTCTCGCGTGGATCACTTCTTTGAACTGTTCTTTCAAAGAGCTCTGCTGCCTGCCGGGCCGCACGGCGGCGGGGCCGGCCCCGGGGCGCAGCAGTACGAGGCGGCCAGCGCGGTTCTTCTGGACGGGCTGCCCGGAGTACGGTGGCTCCCGCTCCCGCAGGAGATCAAGGTAATCGGAGGCGCCATCGCAAAGTAAGACTCAGAACCCGCTGTCTTTTCCTTCTCTGTCTTCTCCGTTGTTTTTTTTTTTTCTCCCTTAACTTTTTGTTCTTGTCGAGATTGTGGGTGAGTGTTAGAAAGGCGTTCGTTGGGGAAGCAGGAGCTCCAGTGAGTGAACTTAGACAGATTTTCTTTTCTAGATAGAGATGAGCTCTTTCATCTTATTACAATGTTTAAGCTTTGTCCAAACTTGGGGTACTTTCCAGAAATCATAATTGTAGGGTGTATCTTACTTACAAATTTTGTGACTTTGATTTTGTAATGCAAGGTTATGTTCGGGTTTGTTTCTCATGGATGAAAGCTGGATGGAATGATTGGCTAACAAACAATATTCTTAGCTAAAGTACAGATCTCCACTAATGATGGCAAAATCTTCTTCTTTCTGTGACTACAGGTGCTTACTGTTTTGGGGAGCAGTGTCTTTAGACTTTTGACACATGAAGATTAAATATTATCTTCCCCCTAAGAAAACTGAACACATTTTAAAACATAGCCTATTTTAGTCTTATAAATTCCATGTAAAGGCCCCCTCTTATATTCAGATTTCTTTTTTATTGTTCTTTTTTCTTAATTTAGCATGCATTTGATTAAAAGGACTATATGTTTTCATTTCTCTCAATGTAAAAGAAGATCGGATTGAGCAATCACTCTGTGAATTCCAGTGTATGTTTTTTAATTCATTGCCCCAAACCAGTTGCTTCTCTCACCAAAGCTTTAGTTGCTTTGACCCTTGTCGAGTCCGACACTACCGTCCAAAGATTAGTCTTCCCGTGCCGGGTTCTCAGACCTGTGCTGTGCTTTGGGGAATCCCAAAAGGTCTCCCCTGGGTGCTCACACGCAGGTGGGTCAGTGAAGTTCATACACAGAAAACACTGAGGAGAGGGCTTAGACTTTTTCTGTATTTCGTGGTCTGCTTAAGAAAATTAAGAACAAAATTTCTGGAAAGAGAGATAGATACCTTCTGTCAAGTGACCTAAAGGTCTCTGGTGAATATAAGGTTTAAAAAACTAATAACTCTTGAAGTTTTTGTTTTTCTTTTACCAGCAAACTCAGAAAACTTACACACTTTCTTCTCTTTCAAACTGCGTACTGTGTTAAAAAATAACAGGGCTTAGTAACTCTGTATCTCCTAATGAAAAATATTAAGGAATTTTATGCCTTAAAAACCTCAAGTTGAGCCCCAGCTGGTGTGGCTCTGTTGGTTGGAGTGTCCTCCTGTAAACCGGAAGGGCGAGGGTTTGATTCCCAGTCGGGGCCCAGGCCCAGGTTGCAGGTTCAGCCGCTGGTTGGGACACGTATGAGAGGCGACCCATCCACCTTTCTTGCCCTCACATCGCTCTTTCTCTCCCTCTCTCTCTGCCTCCCTCCCCCTCTCTCTAAAATCAATGTCCTTGAGAGAGGATTTTCTTAAAAATCTAGTTGAAAACATATATATAGATGAAGTTATTTGTGCCTGATAAATTTTGGGTAGAAAGTCGTTTTAACTTGGACTAAAACTTGCTCTGAGTTTAGTATACAACGAGGTCTTCAGTTTTCTTTCCCAGGTGTTTGAGAATCTCTTTATTTTGTCTGTTTCTCAGATGTTCTCTTTTTCAAAGTTCGTTTTTCCTAAGTTACGTTGGAGTAGTGAAGAGAAAAGACACTCTACCTTTTGTCTTAAGGAACACGAGGAAACAATGACAGCAACCTCGTACAGTAGCCTGTGGAGTCCTGCAGCAGGGGCAGCAACTCATGAAACAGTAACATTCCTGAGATCAAAATCTCAAGTGGGCAACTTCCTTTTTGTCCTGTAGTTTTTCTCAAGAGAAACTGTAGCTGCCCAAAGGAGAGCATGAAGCATTTGCTGGAGGCAGAAGAATGTAGGTCCCAGAGGAGTAATAAGTCTTACCGCGGGAAATGCAGTGAGAGGCGTGACCAGCGTTTCCAACGCTTCATCATCCCAGCCAGACACAGTTTGTGGGGCAGTCCTGCAGAGAGTGCCTTGGACTGTAAAAAAAAAAAAAAATTAAAAAGGACTCCTTTTGCAAATAGCACAGGCGCTACACACTGTAATTACCAATAATTTTTAATTGATGTATATGCATTACAGATTAAACTGCTGATCATGTTTACTATTTTTAAATTGTGAATGCTTTAGGGAGAAAAAAAAATGAATAAAGGAGTTCAGGCAATTTCTATAGAAACAAGCGCTAAATCCTAAGTAAAAGATTTTTCCAATAACTCTGTAGGGTGGTGAAGCTGTGCCAGATTCCAGGGTACACGGGCCTTCATGTTTTAATCCACGGATAAAGATTGATACTCCTTTTATACAAAACATAGGAGAGAGACGGGGAAGAACATCGATATTTTCCAAGAATCGATCTGTTGAGAAATACAGAAGAAGTAAAAAAAGCAAGAGCTCAAAATAGGCTTCATTATGGTTGACTGTTTTTCCTCGAACAATTTTAATATGTTAAAATTTTTCTAACTTAAAACTACAAGCTGTTTGTTGATGTCATAAATTGTTTTATATTGAATACAGAGTGAAGCTCATTTTGCAGTTTTGATTTAATCAGAAAAAGCCTATAGGTTAAATTAATTTTTTTTGCATTGGAAAGTTTAAAAACAAGATGTTCTGTTTGGGACAGTTGTTAAATAATACAAAGAAGAAAGATACTTAACTCTTCAAGTAATTATTAAACACTTTTATATGGCCATCATTAAAAAGTAACTGAGTTGAATGATTGTGTTGCTCTTTTGTTCCTCATAGGTGGAGTTAGACACAGCACTGAGTGACTTGGAGGCTGCAGATTTTGCAGAACTGGTAAGAGGAGCAGTGAGTTTTAGGAAAGACTCAATGTTGATTTGTCATTTGCAAATCAGTCATCATTCTAAATATTTTGCAAATGGGAATGTAATAATCTTGAAATGCAAAACACTAGGTCTCTGTCTTAACAAGGACAAAATCTGTTTTGCTTGCCTTAAGATATTCTACTCCATTAAAAATAATTTTTATATAATGTATATGTAATGATTAATTAATTACATTGATATCATTAAGAACTGGGTTTTGTGATAACAGGACATACATGTAATGTTGATTAAATCAACTAAAAACCCTCTAGATTTGAATTTAAATGGAAAGTATTGATATGATTTGTTTTATTTTTTAAAATATATAATCTTTATCATATATTTTCCCATTACCATTTAGTTTTCTTATGTGCCCCTCCCCCCAGCAATCACCACACTGTTGTCCATGTCCATGAGTCCTTTTTCCTTTTTTACTCGATCCTTCCAGCCCCTAACCTGCCCCCTCCCACTAGCTGTCATCTATTCTCCATCTATGAGATGGAGAATATCTCATAGATACATGAGATACGTCTCATATATCTCATGAGATAGAGATATCTATATCTATCTGTTTTGCTTGTTAGTTCAGTTTGTTCATTAGATGTGTTCAGTTTGTTCCACATATGAGTGAAATCGTATGATATTTGTCTTCCTCTGACTGGTTTTTTTTCACTTAGCATAATGTTCACCAGGTCCATCCATGCTGTTGCAAAGGGTAAAATTTTCTTCTTTTTTATGCCAAGTAGAATTCCTTTGTGTAAATGTCCCATGGTTGTTTTATCCACTCATCTGTTGATGGACACTTGGGCTGCTTCCATATCTTAGCGATTGTAAATAACACTGCAATGAACATAGGGGTGCTTATGTGCTTTTGAATTAGTGTTTTAGGTTCCTTCGGATGTATTCCCAGAAGTGGGATCTCTGGGTCAAAAGGCAGATCCATTTTTAACTTTTTGAGGTATCTCCACACTGCTTTCCACAGTGGCTGCACCATTCTGCATTCCCACCAACAGTGCAAAGGTTCCCTTTTCTCCACATCCTTGCCAGTTTTTAATATTTAAAAAAGTGTATTTCCTAGTTCTGCCCAATGAAAAAGCCCAGACATTGTGACCATCCCAGCACTCATGAGCACCACTAGCACCCAGGTCTTGGTGCATCAATAATATTTCTTGCCAAAAGGAACCAAGACTTTTAAGAGAAAGGGCTGAATCCAGATTTGGGCCTGAAAATATACCTGACAAGCCTGGCAACATCTTGTTATAACAGGAATCAAGGAACCTTTCAAAAACTTTAGAGTTAATGTAGGACTCATGTAATCAGGAGACAGCTTAAAGAGGTTCCCACTTGAGTGTCTATAAGGATAATAACTGGGAGAAATTGAAACATGTCAGGTATGTTTTAATCTGTGGGTTCATAATGATACAAAGAAAAACTGAATGTCTTGGTCAACTTGGGAAGATACTAAGGAGCTGAATCCTTATTGTGAAAACTGGTAAATAAGAAAGAAGAATCAAACACTTACCTGCCTTTCCCATCTAAACCATACCTCAAGGTTACCAAACAGAGACGGGAGGAGGGTTCTCTTTATGGAAGTGGCTTACCGAATGTGTCAAGAAAGAATGACAGAGTTGGAATGTCACCCCTTTGCAAGGGGCCTAAGCAATGACTTTCATGGCTGTTAACATCACACAGAAAAAAGCCAGCCACACAGTAGGTGGCCCCAGATGGAAGCACACATATCGCTGATGGAGTGTGCTTGATCAGGCCTCAAGATCGAACTGCCAATTTTCAGGAAATACCTGGGGGAGAGGGACATGTTCAGTGACCCCAGCTGAGGAAGGGGATTGCAATCAGCAAAATCCAGACTGGGAAACGTAACAGGACAACTTCTTCAATGAATAAATTAGAAGGGGAGGGGTGGGAAGAGCTGAGAGAAAACCTGTCACTACTGAGAGACTTAAGAAACATATCAACCAGTTCCATTATATGGACCTCACTGGGATCCTGATTCAAAGAAACAAAATTTTTAAAAATATCCGAGACAATCAAGAAAATGTAAATACTGATAACTGGCTATTAGGTGAGAGTAACTCTTTAGATGTGGTGATGGTCTTAGGGTTATGCATGTATTTTTTTAAGTCCTGTTTGAGAGACGCCTCCTGAAGTATTTGCACATGAAATGACATAACATCTGGGGTTGATTTGGAAAGGATTCGACAGGAAGCAGGAAGAAGGAGAGGGGGATCTAGATGCCACAGAATTAGCTGTGTACTGGTCAGAACTGACGCAGGTGGCGAGGGGTCCATAGGAGCTAATTATACTATTCTAGTTCTGTATATGCTAAAACTTTTAGTAGTAAAAGTTTTAAAAAGCACATGAGAAGTTAGGGACTCAAAGCAGTGGGGGTGGATCATTCTTAAGAACAATACCGTAAAAGTGGGGAGAGGATGTTAATTTGAAGGGGTGACTTAGTCTTAACTAAGATCCTGAGCACACGGAAGGGTACTTTGTGAAAATAATGGAAATTTAAGGATGGTGAACTCGTCATACATCATAAAATTTTTCACCAGTGGAGATTGTTTCGATAGGTGCTAATCATTAGGAGCACTTTAGATCTAAAGAATTAAAATTTCTGGGTTTTGGGAACTTACATCCAACAGGTTTAATGAAAACTCCAGCCCCTGCCTTGATTGAACATCATTTTGATGAGCAGTGGGATTGGCAGTATTTTCTGTGGTTAGAAAGGGATCTGTGGGGATTCCTTGGATACAACATCAAGACAGTCGTAAAAGAAAAAAATGATAAACTGAGAATGTAAAATGCTACAACTATGTTGAAAAAGTTTGGCAGTTTCTTAATAACCCTTTTTTAGGTTATTTACCTGGATTTTACCTCTTCTGCAGTGCCATATAAATCAGACCATACAGGAGGTAGTGTGGGGGGTATCTGACTTCTTGCATTCAGTGTAATGCATTTGAGATTCATTCACACCATTGAACGTGCCAGTGGTTCAGTCTGAGTAGTATTCCACCGTGTGAACGTATCATAGTGCTGTCCATTTCCCAAGAGGATATTTAGATCTTTTCCAGTTTTCAGTTTTCTTTGGGTTTTATTGTTTGTTTTTTTATTACAAAATTAATGCATACTTATTGGATAAAAATGCAAACCTGGTTATTAAAAGCAAATGTCCACTCTCCTCATCCCTTTCCCCACTTCCATCCCCAACTGTACCTGCTCTTACAGTTGGAGGGTGTTCTTCCTGACCTTCTGTACACGCCCCCACACACAAGCCAACACCCATGTCCATGTATATACGTGTGTGTCATCAGGGCTGCTATTTCTGACGAAAACTGCACCATAGTGGTGTTTTGCTCTGCAGCCTGTGTTCTTTGTTGAATAGTATGTCCTAAAATACTTCGTACCTGCTCGTATAGATCAGCCCTAGTTTCCAACAGAGGTAGGATATTCTCTGTTATGAACATACCTAATTTTATTAACCATTCTCCATTGTCGAAACTCACTGTATCTTCCATTTTGCATATTACAAATAATGAAATAATTAATTATTCTATAATTAAAGAGTATATATATTTTTTAAATTTTGCACGCTACTCAGTGGTCTCAGTGGTCAAATAGGTTGTGTCAATTTGTACTTTCAAAAATAGCATATGTTAATATTATCTACTCTAAATGATATATAGTGTAGAAGCTCTTTGTCTTAATACATTTATTTAATGATAATCACTCTTGGTGTAACAGATCTTATGTTTATTCTTAGATGTCTCTGATCAACAGTCTCCTATAAAAACAAAAAATAAGACTGCTCTCAAAGTACTTATTTTGTACATTATCTTTCACTCTAATATCCTAGAATATTGATTTCTGATAAAGACACTATGAAAAGTTCAGTTACTAAAGAATGTAATTGCCATGTTAACTGTTGTTGCTTAACCGGGATTTTTAAATCCACTGTGGTTTCCCCCCCAGTCTGAGGATTACCACGACATGCGGCGGTTGTATACAATTCTAGGGTCTTCTCTGTTCTACAAGGTGAGTTGAAGCTTGAGTCTTTCACGAATGTCAGACTGCTGCATGAACAGACCTAAATTTTCTCAGGCTTTTACCACATGAAAAATACGTCTGTTCTTTTCCTCTGAATGTAGGTACCCTAAAATTAACTTGTTAAAACTTGTAGCTACATATGTACAAGTGCAGTGAACCTTTCTGGTTTCACTGTGCCCTAAAGCACTTGCAGATTTGAAAAGGAGAAGCTGTGCTCGAAGAACCAAGCGTGTGAGAGAGGAGAGAGTGCTCTCCGAATCTCCTGTTGCAGCAGTGTGCTGGTGTCTTATCAGACATAGGCATGCAGCTTTTTAATAAGTCTTTTAACATTAAGTGGTTGACTTCCAAGTAAAGCAAGTTAAGCATCAAACGAATTTAGGTATTTTCATTTTTCAACTCCTGATTCTCCTCCACGTTCCATCCTCAGAATTCAGTTCTTTTCTCATTTTGCCACTCAGGTTTGACACTACTCAGAGGTGATCCCACTTTGTGCTGCCGCCTACCTGTTGTAGACGTGCGTTAGCATAAATATTTGATCTCTAGTTGACCTCGCAGGAAAATAATTATTTTTATTATGTCTTTATTCCATTGGAAACTGGAATATTTTAAGCCACCTGAAGAAGTCCCTATAAAATCTGACAAATGTATTATGGGATTATATTGCTCGATGCCACCGGTTGACTTGTGTGCTCTTTGTGGTTAAACTCAAGGGCTATTTGACGTGCAGCCATCTGCCCAAGGACGATCTGATTGACATTGCTGTGTACTGTCGTCACTATGGCCTGCTGCCTCTAGCAGCTAAGCAAAGAGTCGGTCAGCTGGTGATATGGAGAGAAGTGTTCCCTCGGTGTCACTGCCGGCCTTCTGCAGACTCGGACCCCGACGCCTTCCAGGAGCCTGAGGGGAGATATTTTTTGCTAATTGTCGGCTGGGTGCGTTTACCTTGGTTTCTTTCCTGTGCTTTTTTTTTTTTTTTGCCTTTTACTAGCTAAATACACAAATATGATGATTTAAAATGATAGGCTTGTCAGCTACCAGTATTCAAGAAATATTACATGCCCCTTATTTTTTTTTCTTCAGCATTCATTTAATACTCGTGGAGAACCAGTAATGAAACCTAGAATAAGATTTTTAGCAGGTTCTTTAGTCTTTTGTTCCCATCTCTATAGTGGTTGTATCCCCTGGTTTGTTTTGGGAAATAGAGGGAAACATATAAAAAATACAGAATCAGAATAAGTATGTGAGCCCTGGCTGGCGTAGCTCAGTATATTGAGCACAGGCTGCGAACCAAAGTGTCGCAGGTTCGACTCCCAGTCAGGGTACATGCCTGGTTTGCAGGCCATGACCCCCAGCAACCGCACATTGATGTTTCTCTCTCTCTCTCTCTCCCCCTTCCCTCTCTAAAAATAAATAAATAAAATCTTTTTTAAAATGTTAAAAAAAAGAATAAGTATGTGATTATAAATGAATGGACTTCTAGTAATTGAGGCTCTTTGAAAGCTACCTTAGGGAATTCCATGTGCCACAAGTAGTGACTGATAGCACATCAAGATAAGGCAATATGAGCTTTGTTCTCCAGGGTGATCAAGAAGGACTAAGAATTACTAAGAAGGAAAAGGGAGACAGGAGTTCTCAACAATTTTCACGTGGTTATGCCATATGCCCATATGTCTTCAGTATTCATAAACTGATACATGCATATTGCATATAAATATCTTCATGTAGCTAAATCTGTCCTAATAACCTTTTCTTCTTATAGCGGCATTTTATGTTGTGTGTGCTATTAGAAGCTGGCGGCTGTGCATCCACAGCTGTTGGGAATCCTGGACCAGATTGCGTATACGTGGATCAGGTCAAAACAGCTCTTCACCAGCTGCAAGGAGTGGACTGCCGCATCAATGAACAGCTGGAATCTTCTCCAAGCCCCTGCTTGTCTTGTGCTGACTGGTTCCTTGCTGGGTCACATGAAAAATTAGATTGTTTGACGACCTCACCTATCCTCAGTAAGCTCCAAGGTACTTCCAAAGTAGCCACCTCTCCACCGTGCAGAAGAACTCTTTTCGGTGACTATTCCTTAAAGACCCGGAAGCCCAGTCCTTCCCGAAGCAGTGGAGGGCCTGACGACGGTGGCGAAGGTGGGGAAGGCGGCGGCGGCCCGAGCCCCCACACCACACCAGACGCAGAGCGGAAGCAGAGAGAAGCTGACGGCTCGGAAGAAAGTGGGGCCTTGCTTAAGGTGTGTGTGTGTGTATTCAAGTGTGTGCATTCTGGGAGCTGAGCTGTCTTTCCAGGCCTTATTTTATAATTGTGATAGGATTTTTAATGGCAGATCATTCTTCATTTGAACTGGTGGTGGTTTTAGTCACCGTTGGGAAACCAGTGATTCAGAACCAAAAAGAGGAAGAAATAACAAGTAATATCCAGGACATCTGCTTTGACACACCGTCCAAGAAGGGCAACTCTCTAATCCTGTCTTCCCTGTTCATCTCTTGATGCTCTGTTCACAGTGTCCACAGGAAACAGCCCAGCAGTGGGCATTTAGTGGTCTGACTACATAGCCCATAAAATGTTCAGCAGAAACAAAAACAGAATCGGTAACTTAAAATGTATGTGAGTGTCTTGTTGTAGTCTTTTATAGATTTTTTTTTTTAATCTGTACCTGTGAAGATCAGGTCTCCATACTCAAGAATTGGAAATGTGACTGTTATGGGAAGAGCATGTTCATTTTTCAGACTGCTTATCTATCATTTCCTATGTGTGTTTTCCCCCCATGAAAACACCGTACTATATCCAAACGATTATCAAAGTAATCACCCCAAGAGGTGGTTCCTTTCTATTCTAGTAATGTTGCATTTCCGAAACATTTTGGAAAGTTATCGTTCGGGTGGATAGAGGCGACAGAGCATGGAGAAGGAGGAGTCTGAGAAGGGGCAGGGATGAAATGGGAGATTCTGAGTGCCGTGGTGTAGCCAACCATAGACTTGACCCCCCAGTTCCAAGCAACAGAGCCTGAAGCGGATGTATTTAGGAAGCGCTCGCCCTGGTACTGTACTTAGTATCCCCGTCAGTGAAATGGGTAGGAAATAGAGTTTAAGACTATTTGGAAAGTATTAAGGAGCCATGAACAGCTCCTAAGAAAAATTGAATTAACCTCTATGCTTTAGCCATCCAACAGATGTTGGCTGAACACCTACTATGTGCCCAGGACTATGTGACACAAAGGAGATACAACAATAACTAAGATACAGCCCCTGCCTTTGAAGAGTGCCGTCTAGAGAGGGAGACAAGTACATATATATATGTAAATTATAATGAAACTCAGTAAAGGCTCCAGAGTGGCCCTGGTAGGAAGTTTTCAGGGAGACTGTTCATGTCCTCCTAGCACGTGGCCCCGGGGTCCCTGATAGCAAAGATAACTCAGGAGGCACAAGTTAGCATTGAAAATATCAAAGGTAACATTGCAAAATAGCGAAGAGTTCTCTTAGAAGGATATTTAGTTTTTACATTATTTTTACACTATTTGACTCCATTCTTAGATATAAACTAACCTACTTAACTATATGTTTCAGGTCATTAAAAAGAAGTCTGCTCTTCTAAATCCATTTCATGTGGGGAACTTGAAAAAGGACCTTTCAGAAAAAGAATTGGAAATCTATAACGCAATGAAGTAAGCAACTTCCTTATAATATTCTTTTCCACTTAAACTCTGCCTTCAAGGAAATTTTACAGTGAGAAAGCTACAAGTCCATAGCGTATAGAGATTTTATTCAACAATGGTAATTACACTGTTTCTTGCATATCAAAGGTAATAGCTACGCTATTTCTCTGGTGTTCTTCATTACACATATAGGAAACATAAGAGATAAAAAACACGCAAAGTAATAATTCAAATGAGAAAGCCGCCCTTTATCTCTCTCCCACAGGTAACCTCCCCTTTGCGTGTCTGATTTTTAAAGTAGAGTTTACTCGTCTCAGACGGGATGCTGCGGTGAGCTAGCTGCCCAGATAAGGACACTCCTGGGCCGGCAGTGCTCGCTCCAGTGCCCAGCAGGCACGCACACGGCAGGATCCAGGCTCAGAGCGGAAACAGGCCTCCTCCTTGCCGCTCTGCTCAGGGCCAAAAAAATAATAATCAAGTGAGGGAATTTTTTACTCTAGACATTAGAATCAGAATGGGGCAGCTGGAGCGTTTGAGATGCCCATGGGGAAATGCCGTGGATATGTTTAAAGACGGCCAATCAGAAGTCAGCAGTGCAGAGAAAAAAGTGAGATACAGCGGAGCAAGTTTCCGAGTCAGCTGAGCTCTGCCGCTTCGCTGTTGGGATAGAATGGCTAAAACAAGATGCTACTGTTGAATACCTGCAGGGTCAGTGTGAGAATTAAGACCCAAGATACTTTAAAGCACCTGTCTTCGCACACAGAGGACATTCAGCATGTTATTATTTTGTTGTTCTTTGGCTCTGCTCACTAATGGTAGAAACAAGCAGCACGTATCAGTTCTGCTGGCCTGTCTGAGACCCAACCAGGGGGGATAAAGGATGGAGAAGAAGAATGGAGAAATGAAAATAGTAAGAGAACACAGGAAAAAAATAGACTGCAATAATGAGAAATAGACTGAAACTACTAATTGCCATGGTCTTTGAGAATATTAACCAAGCTTTGCAGTTGGTAATAATTTTAATTTTCTTCAGGACTGTCAATTTATCATGGTGTAAGGCTTTAATGCTGCTAACTTAAATGCGTTTAGTTTATTGAAGATTTTTTTGTATATATGTGTGATCTACCTTCAACTGATAGCGTGTTTCTAACTTGCAGAGATCTGGGCCGGGCGTGGGCTGAGTTATTCATTACCAACAATGGAAAAAGAGGAAGTTGGCCAATTTGGATTGTTTTGCAAAGGGACGATTAAGTTACTTGCGAATGAATTGGTGTTTATTTATCCTTGCATAATATGCAGTGCTTGCCTCCATTAAGGGAATTGACAATAACCCTAGTCTGCACTTCAGTTAAGGCGGAAGAGGGAATTCAATGTTTACCTTAGTTTCCTTTGCCTAATTATCCTCCCAATATTATATTGTAGATTTTTTTAAAGATTTTATTTATTTATTTTTAGAGAGGGAAGGGAGGGAGAAAGAGAGAGAGAGAGAAACATCAATGTGCAGTTGCTGGGGGCCGTGGCCTGCAACCCAGGCATGTGCCCTGGCTGGGAATCGAACCTGCTATGCTTTGGTTCGCAGCCCGTGCTCAATCCACTGAGCTACGCCAGCCAGGGCTATATTGTCAATTTTTAAAAAAAACATTAGGAGTCTTCCCAATTCAAAATGGAGCAATATTTCTAAGTTTACTTCAATATCTTTTTTCTTTTACTTTTTTTTTTTTTCAAGATTGACCTCAGGTCCAGAGAACACACTTTTCCACTACGTTGCCTTAGAAACAGTGCAAGGGATCTTCATTACTCCCACCCACGAAGACGTGGCCCGGCTGGGCGGCTCCGTCCACCCTGAGCTGATCAAGAATTTCCATCGGTGTTGTCTCTCCATTCGCGCAGTTTTCCAGCAGACCCTGATGGAAGAGGTAGGGCACTGCTCTAAATACACAGTTTTCTGCCGGTTTCATTTCCAGATCTCCAGATACTCTCTCTAAAAGCCCTTGCTTGAACCAGTATGTCCAGTAATGACCATTTTCATTTAAATTTTTTTAAAGTCACCCACTCTCACTTGCTGGCATAAGGATTATTATACTCACGGTTCTTCGCTTCAAAGATCTGTTTTATACTGCTGAGCTTGCTGTCCTAGATCACCGTTTCAGGAAATGGCGGCCTGTGCTTTTCTATGGCAAAGTAGCATGTCATAGCTTAGAATGTAAATTAGGCTCCCGTGTTTGAGATCTGTGACTCAGCCATTACTGGGACAGTAATATCTACCGGTTGCTAACACTGATAATTCCTTAAGTATTCAGCCAGCAGTGTAAGGTATTTTGGAACATAATGGGATGAGGTCTAGCAGTAGACACAATACTGTTGCAAATGTTTTAGCCACTTGGTTGATTGGTTGCTTGCTTGCTTTCCCATCCAGAACGAAATTTCATTTAATATTGTACCTTCTGGATAAGTAGTAATTATTGTGTACTAATTAAAGATAAGTATTAATTTCTAGACAAAGATAAATTTAACAGAAGTTTAATTGTGATGGGTCACTCATCACAGACCCACCTCCCCCAAAAACACTCTCTGAAGGTGATCACAATGCATATAGCAGTGTGTGTATTCAGGATCTGAATTTGTGAAGAAACGGGGTTTAGAGGTGGAAGAACATTGGGCTAGGAATAGGAATCACGGACTGATGCTCTCCTCTTCCTATTTCCTCAGCTCTAAAGTGAATAGACCAAATTATATAATCTCTTAGGGCTCGTTTAGCAGTAAAATTATGTGTCTTATAGGATTTCTTCTTCAAGCTAACAGAAATTGGTATTCAGCAAAATGTTATGTTCAACTGTATATCCCTACACATGTTGCATTCTTACGTTCCTCCTTTCCTATTTAACGCAACCGGTCGATTCTGTGAGGGAACATCTCATTTGCGCATTCAATAATATTTGGTAATATCAATTAGCCTTCCCCATAGTATTTAAATATCGGGGGACCCCTATTCCAGACCCTATTCTAGGTCCTGGCAGTACAGCAGTGAGCAAAACAGAGTCCCTTTCCTGCTGAAGCCTATATTCTAATAGGGGCCTCTAACGAATTAGCACGTAGTGAAATATGTCGGGTAGGATCAGTTTCACAATGAATAATGAAACGGGGAGGATGAGAGGTGAGTGTTACTATTTCGAAAGACCCCCCTAATCACGTCAGAGTAATATGTGAACAGCAAGCTGAGTGAAGCGAGACAGCGAGCCCCGTGGCGAATCTGGCGGCAGAGCTTCCAGACGGGAGGGAACAGCAGATGCAAAGCCACGGAGCTCAGAGTAGCCACAAGCACTGGAGCGGCCACATGGGCAGGAGAGTAGTGGGCACTGAGATGGCCGAGGCCGCAGGGCCAGATCACGAGTGGCCTGACAGATGTACGGACTTCGGGCTTTGTCCTGAGGGAGATGGGAGGTTCTTGGACAGGTGTGAGCGGAGCAGGGACACGATCCTTGGTTCAGGCGGCTGTGGGAGAACAGGCGCTGTAGGGCAGCGAGGGTGGCGGCGGGGACCAGTTGGGAGCTGTGGAAATTCTCAAAGCAAGGAGCGTAGTGGCTTCTGGACTCTGGATGCATTCCGGAGGGCGAGCCCAAAGGGTTTGTCGTTGGGTTAGGTCAGGGTTTTGAGAGAAACAAGAACCGAGGACCACTGCACTGTTTTGGCTTGAGCCTTACAAAAAGTCTTTTATTTGCTAATGATTTAATCAATGGGAAATTTAGAGAGTATGCGTCAGAGGAAGAGAATGTACTGCTTTAACTTTAATATGTTACAAGTATTTATAAAAATGGTCTATTTAGTAATCTATTCATTGAGCACCTACTATGTACCAGGCACTTTTAAAAAATACAAAGATGGTTAGTGTGTTGTCTCTGCCGTGAAAAAGAATCTTATCACGTGCTGGGGAAGAAAGACCTATAAATTGCTAATACAATACAGTGTAAAGACTGATTTAGAGCTATGACCCGAAGGCTCCCTAGAGCGTCAAGGGATGCTTGCTCCATCAAGTGTCTCTTAGGAGGTAGTGTTTACAGAAAGTATGAGGAAGAGGAGAAATTTGCCTGCAGGTAAGGAGAAGCATGTCTTTGCAGGCTCTTAAGTATTAGGATCAGCCAATTCAGATATATATGTGAAGACATTTTAAGGTAACACTATGCATACCAGTTAATATCAATAATGCCTGTTCATTTACAGAAAAAGAAGGCAGCGAGTGTTGCAGATCATCCAGACTCTACAGATTCGGCCTCTGCCCCCAACCCCGTGAAAGAGCACGGGGTGCTGTTCGAGTGCTCGCCCGAAAACTGGGCGGATCCGAGGAAAGCACCCCCGGTCGTGGCGTACTGGGTGGTCGGGTGAGTGGGGGACGCATTCGGGAGGGAAGGAGAGCGCTAGCAACATGAAAGAAAAGCAGTGGTAAAGGAGAGAACATTTTAAGGTGTAGGCATGTAGTTATTAATCTAACTATAATATCTTACTGTATTTTAGAATTTTATTTTATTTGCTAAGTATGTCCTTTAAATTCCTCCCAAGTCTTTTTCTACTAAAGGCAAAAAGCTTACTCAGTTACACAAATATATTAGTAATAATCTAAAAAAACAATGATTTCACAATTTTACTGCTATTTCCTTCCTTCTGTCCCTACTTCTTTCTTTCTCTCTTCCCCCCCACTTTCCTCCCCCCTCACCCCCCCCACCAACTGACCTGGCTCCTGCCCACCTCTGTTTCCACTGCCTGCCCTCTTCTCCCCCACCCCATGTGCACAGCACGTGGCCATAATCGAATCTCACTCCTGCTGTTTGTTGTGTGTGGGATGTTCTGCCTCTTAACATTCTTAACATTTGCATGCGGCTCCTTGATATTCACACCAGTCCTAACAGGTCCCCTCCTCAAAGGAAAGATCCACACTCTCTTCCCTGCATTAAAAGAGCTACTCAGTGATGCTCTATTATATAACCTTCATTATTTACTTTCTTGTTTGTTTGTGGTCTTCCTCCCCCTCACCCGAATATCAGCTGTATGAGGTCTGCCTTGAACGCCACTGGCACCTAGCACATATATCGATAAACATATACCAATTTAGTAAATGGAGCTGTGCCTGACAAACTGTGGTGGTAGGTGGGTGGTATGGCGAACAGAAAAGACAAGTCACACTCATTGTATCGAATGGTCTTACATCTAGCAAAAGAAAAATGAACTGTGCTCAGATGTCTGTATATTTATGGATGTGTTTTATGGATGTAGATACATGCCTATATAGATAGATATATAGGTAGGTAAATAGACAGATTTGAGTCACTTGTTAAAATCAGAGATGCCTGCACTCCACCCTAGTAAGCTCCCTTGTAATTCTGCTGTGCAACCAGCCAAGCTTGGGAGCACCAGCGTAAGTTCAGTCCTGTGTGTTGTGATCAGAGCTGCACCTACTAGACAGTGAATTTGGGAGCAGCAAGTGGAATGGTGTGGATGGATACAGGAGAGAATAGAGACAGGAACAGTCAGGCACACAGGTGAGAGTGTAGAGGAGCCTGAATTGTATTCCCAGCGACTGGAATAACAAGAATCAAGAGGTGTCGGATTCTGATGATGCAGGTCTGTATAGGATGGAGACATCTATGCAAGTCAGGCAGAACTGCCCCTGATTTAAATAGTTTGGTGTGTATACAGTAGTATTCATTTTAGGTTTTAACTCTTTAACAAAACCAAGTAAAGTTTCATTGTTAATCCCAATTCAACACTCTCTGCAAAATGAGCTGTCATATATATAAAATGGGTTTTTTTAGATTTTATTTATTTATTTTTAGAGAGGGAAGGGAGGGAGAAAGAGAGAGAAACATCAATGTGCAGTTGCTGGGGGCCATGGCCTACAACCCAGGCATGTGCCCTGACTGGGAATCGAACCTTCGATGCCTGGTTCGCAGCCTGCGCTCAATCTACTGAGCTACGCCAGCCAGGGCTATATAAAATGTTTTAATAATAATTAAACTTCAGAAAGTAAATGACAGTGTTAATAACTGTTGTGCTTAACATGGTGGGACCACCACTGGCTTTATCGTAATGATAATGACTAAATTTAATATTTAAAAACCGAGGGTTGTAATACATATTAGTAAAATAGGCTTTTTACATGCTGGAAAAATAAAAATAATTGACCTAAGCACATATTATTTATTTAAAAGTAAATCTAGCTTCATTGCCCTCTACTATAGATTTGGATTAGTGTTTTAATGTGTTACCAATACTTTCAGGAACAAAAAAGAAATAAAGTCAATTGAAAGTGAACATTTTTTTCCTTTGTTTTTTTAATTTCTAAAGTAAGTGTTTTTCTCTGCAGGAGACTCTTTCTTCACCCCAAAGTTCAAGAACTTTACGTCTGTTTTCATGACTCAGTCACAGAAATTGCCATTGAAATGGCCTTTAAGTTGTTCTTCGGGTTGACCTTGTAACTGTGTCTTCTTGCTGCATAGCAACACTGAGCGTGGAGCCCTGGGCAGTCTCAGGATTGCGGAAATCCACACACAGAAGTTAAGGGTTAGCTTCTTTTCACTGTTCAGTGTTGAACATAATATTGCTGAATATCAAGAGCATTTGCTGTTGGATTTTATGCACTAGATCTTATGTCATACTGTGAGACTTTTTGAAAAAAGATTCACGATCAAAATTTGAAAAAGGAATTAACTTATTTCCATTTTGGTATATAACATTAATTTATTGACTACTTTGAAATAATATTAAGTGTTTTATATGAAATTAATATAGCGAATATTTGTCTTGGAAAAGTACTCAATTCATTGTGTATTTATCTCAAGACTAACATTGAATCATGAAATCGAGGAGCATGACCGGGTCCTAGAACTGCATAGTGTCGTGACCGTGAGCAAGTCTTCGTACCTCTCTGAGCTCAGGGCATTGAGGGATCATGTGTATGAAGGCACTTTGTTTAAAAGTATTTGTTAAATGTTTTAAATTCCTTGATATTTCCCCCCCAAACACCATGACCTAATTTAATATTGAGAATTATTAATAAATGCAGCTACTGATCACCTGAGCTTTTCAAACAGACTGAAAGCTATCATAAAGGACTTTTTTTGTGTGTGCTTCATTCAATGAAATTTTAGTCTGTTGAACAGCTTTTCTGGTGTCAAAGAATCATATTGACCACCGCTAAATAATTGAAATAAAAAGACAAAGTAAACTACTGATGTTAATTAGGGGAAATCATTTGCTGTACTATACAGATTATACTGTAATGTCCATGTTGTAGAGACTGCAGTTTTTTTTTAAATGAAACCAAACATCATCTTGGTTTTAAGTAAACATTGCAAGTAAACTTGGCAGTCTATTTCCCAAATACGTTCATAGCCACGTCTGAAAGTAGATCAGTCTGGTTACTGTGTAATAAATGTCTGTCTACCACCACCTCATTCAGTACAGTGGACAAAGTGATGGTGCATGTACCACAGAGGTGTGTACTTTTAGCAGGTACAGAAACATTCTGAAGTCGGATTTCGTTAGCATCCTGCAAATGGTCCCTTTCACCAAGACTATTAATGCAAAAGATTATATAACAACCACTTTTAAAAAATATCAAGTGCTGTCTTATCACCATGATATGTAATATGTTGTATTTTCCATGTGAACAACTGTAATATTTTACATAATATGTAATTGTAATTACAACTGTTCATATGGAAAGTAATACAATAATCAACAAATAATAATATAAGAATAATCTGTGTTTTGTTACTCAGAACTGTAAACCTCCTTTTGCCCCACACTGTATTTTTAGTCCCCCAAAATTCCCTTTTAGAGTATCCTCCTTTTCCTCCCTCCTCCTCCTTTAACTGTTGTTGGTTTATTTTTAGGGTTAGACAACTGTACTTTAGCAAGGGAGAGTTTTTTATTTGTGCCAAGGGACTGTTAATGATGATGCATGCAGGCAAGATAGTACATTTCCAGTGCCTGCCTTTTTATATTTCTAATACAAATGGGAAATGCCTATGAAACCAATTTAGCACGTTTGTCTGCTCTGAACATTCTTGAAAGTATTGTGAATACTTGTTTGTTGTGTGTGTGGATTCCCTCTAAATAGTGCCTAGCACATGTTATGTGCTATAAAAGTGTTAGCTGCTGCTGCTAGTATGACCAAATACCCATTGGTTGAAAACCAGGGAGTCAGCTGAATCATCCCTGCTACTGTATGAGATATTGGAAAGAAGCTGAGGAAACGTATTCAGCACTAAACACTTTGAAGAACAAGGATTTATACTTTGGTTATTTTGAAAAATACTGTTAAATGTTATTAAAACTTTAGTCTATACACTAAACTGTGTGAAAGTAATTTAATTTGTATATCTATATTTCTATATTCTATATAATTGAAGCTATTTTTATACTATATTGGTAGTTTTTAATAAAGATGGTTTAGAGATTTGTTTGTGGTTGTGTTCCTCTTCATGCATTGGTACAAAAAATGTCTATTGAATTTCAACCCTGTGCCAGGCACTGTTCTGGTTGCTGGGGATGCAGCAGTGGGGAAAAAATTTAAAAAATGAAACAGCTAAAAGTCTCCACCCTCATGGGAGTGAGGAACACAAAGGCCCTGAGACTGTATACTTTTAATATTAACATATAAATCACCAGCACTGTTTTTGACCCATCAATTAGTCAATAAAGTGCAATGCAGCAAGTTAAAGTAAATGTTTATTTTCAGTTCAGTCTATTGAAAAGAGTTGATCTGAAGCACTTAAGGTCAAAAAAGCTACATTTCTAAGTACTTTCAGTTCTGTTGTCTCCTATCAATGAATGTATATCATAAATCAGCTTAAGGATATCATAAAAGAATATGTTGTAAACATCCTCAACTACAGAGTCAAATGCTGGGGTGAGGGGAAAAGGAGGCAAGAAAGGAAGAGGGAACTGCCCTAAGGAGCACCTTGTCTGTCCTCCAAGATACTTACATTCCCTGTAACCAGAGATGTTTCTTTTGGCCTCTCCTGGCACCTTGGAGTGAGATTTAAGTGATCACCCCCTTAAGTTTCTCCCTGTGTACTTGTTAATGTTTAAAACTCCCTTTAAGGAGACTACAACCTTTCATTGTTCAGATTTTTGCAAATAAAACTCCAATCATTTATTTCTTGAATTTACAATGGATTTCGCAAAGGATTCTGAAGTCAATGCAATGAAAGACTTCAAATTTTTTAAAACTAGAAATAGTGAGTAATGCAATTGCTTCAGAGAGATTAATCTGGTGGCAACATGTGAAATGAAAGAGACTCCGGCTGAAAAACTACCCTCTGCAGAAAGGAAAGTAGCACAAAACGCCAGACCAGCAGGGCTTGCCCGCTTGTTTCACTTGAGGTAATCAAAACAGTGACAAAATTCCTACTCTGGAATCCTTTTGGCCTACAGTTTTGGGTTTTTACTGGCATGAAAAGTGTTACAACACACTTAAGATAATGAAGGAAAAATTAAAGCCTAAGTTCCAAACTGTCAATAACTCAGGTTTTCTGCCGGTCCTGCAGAGAGTTTCTAGTTATGAGAAACCATCCAACAGGCTATAGAAAGGAATTGGGAATGGGTTACAGAGGGATCTCTAGGATGTGCAGATTTTTAAAAAAGGGAGGCAGAAGGACACAATGTACTGAGTATTCTTGTCCAAAGAAGTCAAACCCGAGTCCGATCGGCCTCAGAGGTTTCAAAGTGCAGTGGGCAAGAGGCATGCATAGGTGTCACCAAGACATCTGGACCTCCACGACCTCGAAACTTTCCTTAATGTGTAATAGTGAGACATTAGCTGCCAGTTTCATTCTCAGCCTCTCAGCCTCTTCAGTGGAGTTTTCCAGCAGCTCCATGAGGTTGCCTGAAAAGCAGTTATTAGGGGGACCCAAAAAACCCTGGAATTTATTTATAAAAAAATGTGTATTTATTTTTACATGTTTAAACTTCAGTTTCCTTTAAAGTACTCTGCATTTGATGCAATACACCCATCCAGACGGTTTTTTTTTCCATTGCTCAAAACAGTGTATGAACACATTGATTTTGATACTTTTTAGTGCTTCTACCATTTTTGGTTTCATCTCTTCCATATTGGCAAAATGTTTCCCTTTGAGGATTTTTTTTCTTCTGGGGAAATAAAAAAAAAGTCACTTGCAATGAGATCAGATGAATGGGGAGGGTGGGGCTCAGGGGAGTCATGTCGTTTTTTTGTCAAAAACTACTGGGTGCAGCAAGGTGTGGGCAGGTACGCTCTTAAATCACCCATCATGAAATGGGCAAACCCAGTGAAAGAGTCTTCAAAAAGAAATTTTCACTGAAGCCAAACGCAGCCTCCCACAACAATGCCAGCTGGTACAGCTGATACAGATGGGTTCCCAGAACACTCACCTAGCTGGGGCAGCTTGTACTTTAAGGGATCCACCCTCCATAAGGTAGTTCTGTTTTTGGGGGGTCCCCCTCCTATGTAAATCTAGCAGTCCTTTCTTCAGATATTAAAGAGATTTCCAAAAAATATCAAACAAGGCTATTCTCACATTTTTTGTTTTGATAATTTTTTAATTTTTAACTAATTTTTACTGTTAAGTACAGTTGTCTCCATTTTCCCCTACCACGATAAGTTATTTTAAATGTGTGTTTTTAAATGAATAGTTTTAAATTATGTTTCAGTTTCTGACATGGGACATACCAATTTATGTAACACAAAAACGGAAGCTTCTTTGTGCTCTTAATTTTTAAGAGTGAAAAGGGGGTCCTAAAATCGAAAAGTGTGTGAACCCCAGTTCTAAAATGGGTGACTGGTAACCTTTACATTAGAATTACCGGAGTCCAAGCATTAAAATTAAACGCTATTCCCTCGTCTTCTTTGATGGTGAATCCGGAGTGAGAAGCACCGCGCTAGGTAAAATCACCAATTTCAATAAAAAAAGGGAGAAAGAGGAACACGGTGAATTATGCTTTCTGGGTGTAATCAGTAAAACCAATGATGACATGGGTAAACGTTTCTAAGAGAAAAATTCAGAGTAACCCTGGGAACAAATCTACACTCGGTTTATCCCACATGGTTGGCTGGCTGACTTCTCTTGCTTGTACACTAACGATCACACGAAACAGCTCTGCCGGCTCCCTTTCTGCACCTACCCTGCTCAGACAGGTGCCTGCAAGGGCTCTGCACGGGCGCTGCATCCGGCCTGCATGAAGGAAAAGCCAGAGCACTGAGCTACACCCACCCAACACCGAGGGGGTCGCAGCGTGCAGGAAGTCACGTGCAGGCAGTCACGCGGCCACCACCTGGTGGCGGGAGGCGGTTGGAAGCGCATGCGCAGCTTCGTGGCCCTCACGCGGTGCACTGATTTCCCGGCGTCCTCAGCGCCGCCTTCCCGCCAGGACGGCGCCGAAGCGGTTTGGTGCTTCCCTTCATAGCTTCTCCAGGCTCGTTTGAAGCTGTGTCTGTTGGTTATTCCCGGCCCACGTGCTACCATGCAGTCGGACCCTCCGAAGAAGAAGCCAGAGAAGAAGGCGGAAAAGCAGCTCTTCGATGCCGCGTCCTTCGGGAAGGACCTGCTGGCCGGAGGCATCGCGGCGGCTGTGTCGAAGACCACAGTGGCGCCCATTGAGCGCGTGAAGCTGCTGCTGCAAGTGCAGGCATCGTCCAAGCAGATCAGCCCCGAGGCCCAGTACAAAGGCATGGTGGACTGCCTGGTGCGGATTCCCCGTGAGCAGGGTGCGTACGGGCGGCCGCCGCGCCGCCCTCTCCCTGGGGGTGCCGGGAGGGGACGGCTGCGGGAGCCTTGGCCGTGTCTGCCTGGGGGTGGTGCGTTTGTTTCTTCACCTTTGAGAAGTCAGTTGCCGGAACCAGTCCAGGGAAAAGAGGGCCTGCCCATGCCCAGGCCCGGTGCGGGGGAGGCCGCCACCTCCTCTTTGTCTAAATGCCTCCATCACAGCAGGATTTACGTCCCGGGGCCCCTGCGCTTCGCTCAAAAGGCAATTGGGTGACTCCCAGGACTAGGGGTGATGCTGTTAGACACTCTGCTGTGTTAACAAATGCTTAAGTTGCTTAAATACTTGTTGAATAATAGTTTTGAGAAATATTCCGACGATGGGAGCTTTGGAGCCCCCCCAGTACCCTGGTCCGTATTCAGTGGGATGAGGTTTTGTTTCTTCTTGAAAACCGCTGAAGAATGGGGCTGAGCCCAAGGAGGCACACGCCTATGCACAAAGTTGAGGGGGGAGCAAAATAATAAAGGCACGTAGTATTTTAATGCAGTATTTTTTTTTTAAATCCAAGGTGAGCAAAATAAAATTTTGGAGAAAGACAAGATCAGTGTTACCATTTTGGGGGGGCGGGGCGGCGGTTGGCTCAGACCCTGTCTTTATTTAAAGTTTTGTTTTGTTCTTTATTGTGGAGGGGTTCCCCCCCCCATTGCTACGGAAAGATGTCAAGAGATAAATAGTGGAAGTGCTTTGTTACCCACCGAGGGCTGTCCTGTTGCGGAATAGCTCCTAAGTTAGCTCAGTGGATACCGGGATAATTTATTAGAAGCTTTCTGTGATCCACCCATATAATTGGATTCGATTGAAAACTTGTATACGAACTTTGAAAAGGAAACAGGCCCTTTTGATTGTGTATTCTGATCAGGAAGGGAGGTGGCTTCAGCTCCAGTGCAGTCCTTTCTTCCACTGCTGACTCTGGGGCAGGTGACTCTCCCATGGAAAAGGTGTCCTCTCCTTAGCGACGTGGTGGCATCGCTTCTTGATCTGCTGAGCGCGGTATTCGGGGTCCGAGGTAGACCCCTAAGGCACCATCTAAACTGTGAATTTAAAATGCCTTCCAAGAGCTGAGCCCAGATACTCCATAGTGGGTGGTTCGCATCTCTGCACCCCATTTATTTCATCAGAGTGAGCTGCTCATTTCCCCCAAGGTTTTCACAGGGAAAGTAGAAACTTCCCTCTCCTTGGTTTGTGTTCTAAGACCTCTTCAGAGAAGTAGGAGCTGCTTTATTATTAGCTACTCTGCTTTAACTACCTAGTCTGGTAAAGTTAAATATTCTGGTCAGATTGTGTGCTAATTTATTTTTATATTTAAAATGTTCTTTTTAATATTTAAAGTTAAACATAATTCAATATGGCTTTTATTAATTGAGGTCATTCTGAATTGTTATTGCTGTTCCTGCTTTCTCTACCTTCAAAGATGAGATGGTAACAGCAGAACTTGAAGATGTTTTCTATTCTTGTATGCAGGGCCTTCTTATAAATACGGTAAGACTAGGGTATACAGTCTATGCCCAGGGGTTAGTAGTTCACAACAGGGACTATATTGCCATCTAGGGGCTTTTATGGAAACTTGTGGGGAATGCTTTGTTTATCGCAAAGATAGAGGGGTGCCATCTTTAATTGCAATGATTTGAAAGGCAGAAGCTGGGGAGGCTAAACATCTTGCTGCTCTACATGGCCAGCCCTGCACAGCGAAGACTTAACCTGCAGCCTGAAAGACTAAGGTCTCCCACTGGTCCTTCAGGCAACAGTGAAACCTGTGCATGATCATCTAAGCCTCAAACCTAACTCTGATTTACGCATAAACACGAACTACCTGGGCCTAGTTCTAGTAAACATCGATTCCAGCAATGCAGCCACCATCTAAACAGAGGGAAGACTGTATTTTGGTTTGTTCATGACCTCACTGAGAGTTGTTCTTCATTGTGAAAACGCCTGACAGCTACTCTGCTTGTGATACTGGATCACCACCTACATCGTCTGCCTCTCTAACTGTTGAATTCATGATCATCGTACACATACATAAACATGTTTGTTAAGCCCTTTTTTCAAAATTCATTGTGTACCTTAAGTATAATGACTCATTATCAGTAGAAGCAAGCATCTATTACGTCTGTAGTGTGATCATCCCTCACCAATTTACTAGCTAAAATACATATTTTATTATAAATTCCTTTCTTTTTCTCTTTTGTAGAACAGTGAGGGCATTGTATTGATTTTTTTTAATTGGTGAAGAGGACACTGTCTTTGAATTCTGTTCCTAGATGGTAAAGTATTTACAGTAGATACTTATAGAGAGAGGAGATGAACCTGGTCGGGTTTAGAATCACCGTGCTAGATCATCTTGGAATTTAGTACGCAGTCACATTCTGAGGTTGTTATTTTCTGCAATTTACCCTTTTTCTCTTGTTTTTTGTTTGCTCGAACGTTGCCAACTTTTCCTTTCTTTGGGTAACATGGATGAGGCTGAAACTTGAACTCAGAAGGCACAATTAGATATTTTCTCACTGCCTTCTTACCTGTTCTTTTCTTTCTTTCCAGCCCAAGGATGAATCTCTTTATTCTTGCTCTGAAAATAGCTTTAAACATCTCTTTGGGTGTCTTTGATGCTTTTTATAAGCTTTCCTTGGATTATAAAAGCTTCTGGTTCTATCCTGACTAATGCTGTTTTTTAAAGATTTACTCTGTGCTCTAGTTGTTTTTTTGACCTTCCAACTTGTATGTGCACTTTTATTTAATGCTGCTTAAATCTTTATAACACCTGTGATGCATATTTATTATTGAAAATTAGAAAATATAATAGAGAAGTAAAAAGTAAAAACAAATCACTGCCAAAATTACCACAGTTAACATCTTGGTGTCTGTGCAATGATTTTTCACTGAACAAAATATGCATATGTAAATATATTCTTAATTACAGCAATTGTTATATTTAGTATATTATAAAATAGCCTTTTAAAGATCTGAACTATGCAGCCTCATTTTTAAGAGCCTACCAACGCTCCTCATTTAGAAGTTCCTGGGCACTATTTTTAATCTGAACTTCTCCAAACTTATTTTTTTGAAGGTTAGAGCAGCGAGGTTTTTATAAAAATCATGAAGATTATGTTTTGTGGTATGCAAATAAAATATTAGATATTCACTTTATTTAAATAAACAGGAAAATAAACTACTGATATTTCATATGTGAATTCACACTGGCACTTATACTTGGGACAAACGTTAGTTACTTTTCACAGGACACTAAGGCATTCTGAAAAAGAAGTAGGAGTTAGTTACACAGTGTAGAGGGGATGACAGGCACTAATCCTCAATTATCATATAATAAACATTATAGTTTATGTTGGCTCAATTAGATGAATTTGTAAAGACAAAAAGACTATTTGAAATACAGATTCATGTACACTATTCTTTTTTTTTTTTAAGATTTTATTTACTTTTAGAGAGAAAGGAAGGGAGGGGAAAAGAGAGGGAAAGAAACATCATGTGTGGTTGCCTTTCACACACCCCCAACTGGGCACCCTGCCTGCAACCCAGGCATGAGCCCTGACTGGGAATCAAACCTGGGACCCTTTGGTTCGTAGGCTCGTGTGCAGTCCACTGGGCCACACCAGCCAGAGCCATGTACACTATTCTTCAGAATTAACCTCGCCCTAAGGATGCCTTGAGATAGTAGAACAAAAATGGCATGATTAGCAAGATATCTAAAAATATTGCTCAAATAAGTACTCATTTATGTTCTAAATCTTCTTACTGGAAGTTTTCCCCCAGTCCTTTATCAAAGTAGCCCTTTGTCATTCTTCATCTCTATTTTTGTTCTTAAGACCACCTGACATATTTATATAATTCTTATGGTCACGTGACATTTATTTGTTCATTGTCTCTTTCCTTGGCCCCTTTCCTAAAATGTAAGGCCCGTAAGACCCAGGACTCTGTTCCTGGTGCTATCCACAGCAGGTCTGCCATGCACTAGGTACCAAATAAAAGTTTTTTAAATGAAGAATCTTTATCTGATTTTTTAAACTTCTATTTTGGGTATATCTTAAAAGTGTATAAAATAAGGATAGTAGCAAAGGTATATAACTTTAAAATATATGTATACATATTTGTGAGACATGCTAACTACATACTCATATATTTTCACTGATAGGCATTCTGTCTGAACATACTGGGGCCGGGGCCTGCTGGTCTAGAATATATATGCGCCCAGCACTCCCATTCTTGGCTGTAAGTTGACCAGTAAGGGGCCTGGTAATTTTTTCCTATTTTCTCACCAGTCCTGTTTTAATTTTTTTCTCAGAACTAGGTTCAGAGTATGTGTTTTCTTGCTCTTAAATTTTGAAGAGGTTATTTTTTCTTAGCAGTTAAGTCAATGACTTAGCTATTCAGCTATTATTAAAGATACCACAATTGCTATGTTTTTCTCTACCAGTTTTGTGATTATATGTTAGAAATCTGCCCTTTTTTTCTGTATGACTAAAGAATCAAAATACTCCTGCATTTGCACCACTCTTGTCTTTTCCCTTTTTTATTATTCTGACCAAAAAGAAAAAAAGACTACTGTTTTTATTGAGAATGGATTTTTATAGAGAGGCAGTAGAGATTTAATAGCTCTAGGTCTGCAGTCAGATCTGGAATCAAGTCCCAGCCTTTCCCTTACCTTGTGACCTTGAACCTTCTTTTTATTTTTCTTACTAATTTATTGACTTGAAAGAGAGGGGAAGACACAGAGAGAGAGAGAGAGAGAGAAACATCGATTGATTGTTCCTTATTCATGCATTCATTGGTTGCTTCTTATATGTGCCCTGCCCAGAGATGCAGCCTGCAGCCTTGGTGTATCTGGACAATGCTTTAAGCAACTGGACTGCCAGCCCAGGGCCTGAACTGTTGTTTTTGTTTTTTGTTTTTTGTTTTAATACTCACCTCAGGATATATTTATTGATTTTAGATAGTGAGAGGGAGGGAGGGAAGAAGAAAGGAACACATTGATGTGAGAGAGAAACACCAATTTGGTTAGCTCCCTGACTGCAACCGAGGTACGTACCCTGACTGGGGATCAAACCTACAGCCTTCTTTGGTGAATGTGACGATGCTCTAATCAACCGAGCCACCAAGGCTGAATTGTTTTTACTTAACCTCTCTCAGCCTCAGTTTCCTCATTTGTATGCTGCATACCTCATGATATGGTCATTGTGAGGGTTAAACAAGATAATACCTATAAAATATTCAACCACACGTCTGTTGCATAGTTAGTGCTCAGTACATTTTAACTCTTTAATCATCATGTGTGCACCCCTAAATCTACATACACATATTTCTAATGTTCATTTCTGATTCATTGTATATCTGGGATAAACTTGGGTAGAAGAGGAATAATTTTTCATCTACCTTTCTAGGTTCTTTGGTTCTGATAATCAAATTAATAGAAGATGGATTAACAGGAGAAAAACAATTTGATTGCTGGCGTACAGGCCCCTGTATGAATCTGAGAACCACAGGCAGTCAGACAGTTGGGGTTTATGGCTTTCTGAACTGAGAAGGTGGTAAAGGTCTGGGTCTTCTAGGAAGGAGGACAACTCATAAAAAGATGGGGAAAACAGGTGTTTTGTAAACGAATGTTTATCGTGCTGTGCTGAGACCATGGGGCACGGAAGGCACTTTGAACAAACAGGTCCTGCCCAGCTCCCCCCAGCGTACCGAACCCCACCCACCCTCTTTGTGGTTATCGCTGGCGATCGTTCTCTCCCTGGACCAAGCCCTCTCTCTGCATCATCTCTGGTAGTTAACGGGAAGGTTAAAAAACCACATACTTCCTGAATTTTCTGTTTCTTAAAAACAATCCAAATAATCTACACTCCAGAGATGCATTTTGGGGTGGCTCATTTTGCTCCTCTGCACTTATTTGCATTACACACAGAGTGAACGTTTGAGATCTGAAGGAACTCATTTCTTCATGCTTAAAATGAAGAGACTGATACTACCTACTTCATGGGTGATTATGAGGATTAAGTGAATAAAAATCAGTTCTTCGGGAGTAGAGCTTTGGAATCAAACAGGGGACTTTATTCTAAGTCCTGGTTTGGCTGTTTGGTAACCGTGTCCTTCGACAGTTTGTAAAGTTTTTAAAGTTTCAGTTTGTGCATGTATAAAATGGGTTCTATAGGAGAACCTACATCGTAAGCATAATATGATGACTAAATGAAATATACATATAAAGACTTAGCCAGTGAGTGGCACATATCAAATGCTTAGTAAATGGTAGCTTTTGCCATTACATGTTAAATGCACTAGTAAAGACTGAATCAGGTGTAGGTACTGAGAAGGTTATTTCTTGGCTATTAAATATACTTTTTAATTGTCTTCATGCAGCTGCTTTATATTCCACTTAGGATTCACCAAGATTATGGATCCCCCCCCCCCCACTAAATGTACTTACTTATATTTATTATGTTTTCTTTCATAGGTTTCCTCAGTTTTTGGCGTGGCAATTTGGCAAATGTTATTCGGTATTTTCCAACACAAGCTCTAAATTTTGCTTTTAAGGACAAATACAAACAACTTTTCATGTCTGGAGTTAATAAAGAAAAACAGGCAAGTATATCTTAATATCTCTAAAAACTTTTAAGAAACAGTTGGATTCGTCTTACCTGTGATGTTGGGAGGATGTGCTCAAGTGGCAGAAAAATAATAATTTAAACATAGTAACTTAACATAGAATGTGTGTTAAGTTACATGTGAAAACACTATTATGTTAACTTCTACACATTTCTCTAAACCTTTTAGCATAGTTTTAATAATTAAGGGGTCTTTTGTCTCAGTATTTCTCTGAATAAGTATTGTTGTAATGTTAATTATATTTCATAATCATTGCACTAGGAAAAATTCAGCGTTTTATCTCCTTTTGTTAAGCAAAAAAAAAAAGGCAGTCAAGAGATATGTACTCTTACCTCTGAGGTAATTTATCCCCTGAAAAGTAAATTGTTTTCTTCTTTGTGACTAAGGACATATTTAGCTGAGATTAGAGTGCACAGCATATAACCTAAAGAGATGACTGTCTCATGTGGCCACTTGCACTGACTTGGGCTCCTTTCACTGGAGGTCATTAAAGTATTTTGGAATTTCAGCATGTCATCATCTAAACTGCACCCCCTAGGCTGCCTGGGGTTAAACAAAGGCACGGACACGCAGAGAAGTATTGTGGGTAGTGTGGTGTGTGATAACTACAGATGTGTACTACAGGAGAGCCGTTTGTAGAGCTGGCCTTTTAACCTCGAGAAAAATAAGACTTTTACACAATCAGGTTCTGTAGTTTATAACTGTTTTTTAATTTAACATGTTAATTTCATTCTGTAGTTTAATAACCACTTTTTAATTTAATTTTAATTTAATAGTTCTGGAGGTGGTTTTTGGCAAACCTGGTTTCTGGTGGAGCGGCGGGGGCCACGTCCTTGTGCGTAGTGTATCCGCTAGATTTTGCCCGAACCCGACTAGGTGCCGATATTGGAAAAGGTATGGGATTTTCAGAAAGACTAACTCTTCCTTCTTTGTGTTGTGATCCGTGTGTTACTTATTGTAGTTATGCTGTAACAACAGTGTTTGTCACAGTCTAAAAATTTTATTCGTAACCAGTTGGTAGGGTCATGGGGCCTAAAGATGACCACTGTTTTCTTCTCCCTTCAAAGAGAGAAGGGGAAGGCCAGTGCTGTAGTAACAAACAAGCACAAAGGCCACCAACTTCATTCCATTTTATTCCTAGAGAGCCACCTCCTAGATCCCGCATACGCTTATTCCCTGCCTCAACTGTGACTCCCGTCTAGGTTCAACGTACAACTCTCATCCTAGAGGTTGTCCTTCCCTCTGCTCGTGCTTATTTCATTTATCATGTCCTCTTATCTTTTTGTCATCCCTTTGTTTTGGTAGATTTTGATCTTTGGTGGTTTTCTGAGTTTTATGAGAATAGGACAATATAAATTGAGATCTTGCTTGTCTAAAAACATCTCTCTTTTACCCTCTTATCTTGGCCATATAAAAAATTTGGGTTTAAAGTTAATTTCTTTCACAATTTTAAAGTAGTACTCTAGATTCTAGTCTCTAATATTGTTCTTAAGAAGTCCCTATTACTGCTGATACTTCTGTACATGCCTTTTTTTCTCTTTGATCACTTTATATCCCTGATGATCTGACATTTCACAAGATGTATCTTTGTGTGAGTCTTTTTTTCAGTGATAGTAGAAGTAACTCAGTTGACCCCATTCAATCTGGAGGCTTGTGTTCCGTTCTAAGGATGGCAGAGGAGTTAAGTTGTGCATTTTGAACATTCAGATGCTACTTTGCTTTCACCACAAAAATAGTACTTCCTCTCATTTCTAAGTCTCTCTGAGGTTAGAGTCCAGTGGCTCACTTCTCAACAATCTCTCTCTCTGCAAGAAAGTAAGTTCTAACCTTGGGTGATGTGGCTCAGTTGGTTGGAGTGTCATTCCACAACCAAAGGGCTATGGGTTTGATTCCCAGTCAGGGCATCTGGGTTGTGGGTTTGGTCCCTGGTCCAGACACATACGATTCCCAGTGTAGGCTTGTTTGGGAGGCAACCAGTCGATGATCCTCTCACATCGATGTTTCTGTCTCTCCCTTCCTCTCTCTCTGAAAAGTAATGAAAAATGTCCTCAGGTGAGGATAAAAAGGAAATTTAAAAAATAAAGAAAAAAAGCCCTGGCTGGTGTGGTTCAGTGGATTGAGTGCCAGCCTGCAAACCAAAAGTTCTCCATTCCGATTCCCAGTCAGGGCACTTGCCTGGGTTGCCGGCCAGGTTCCCAGCTGGAGGGAATGGAGAACAGCCTGCAAGAGGCAGCCTGTTGGTGTCTCTCTCACACACTGATGTTTCTCTCCCTCTCTTCCTCCCTCCCTTCCCCTCTCTCTAAATATAAGTAATAAAATCTTACAAAATAAAGAAAGGAAGTTTCACCTTTCTCTGCTTAGTGAGGTTCCACTTCATCTTTTTTCTATCTCGCTAAAATGTGTGAATTTTATTCTCTGTCACATACTCTTCTTTACCTGTATGGCTTTAAACCTCTTTTATTTCTTTACTTTCACTTAATAGTATGTCTTAAGGGAGCAGAGACTCATTAAATAAATATTTCTTCGTTGCACACTGTGGGCCAGGCCCTGCCTCAGATACAAGATGTATGTGTGTCTCACACATATACACACACCTCATATAAAACATGGAGCTCGTGGTTTGTGTACCTTCTAGTCTAGTAGGGGACACAGGTAATAAAACAATGAATAAACGACAGAAATAGGCTGTCACTTAGCAATAAATCCATGAAGGAAAATTAGGAGAAAGGAATGACGTCAATTTTAAATAAGTGGTCAGAGAAAACACCCTAGAAAGGGCGGCAGTCTGAGAAAGGGCGGAGGTAGGAGTTCCGTCTTACGCTGAGCTGGCAGTCCAAATTTCCTTGTTACTGCCAAGAGAGTGAAAATAACTCATACATCTTGCTTTAAGTTCAGTACCTTTGTCTTCTCTCAGAATTGGGAGAATTTAGTTTGTTTTGAAAGATTGTATTCTACATATAATGTTTTTAAAATATTGTCAAAGAATTGAAGTCAAGGGACAATAAAAACAAAACCATCAACTGTTGAAAAATACAACACCCCATCTAAAATGTTACTGATTTGTAAGGTACTTGTTTATAGCATTTTCTTTTTGCTTCATCTGTCTTTATGCTCTTTAAATGAAACTAGTCATGGAGTTTTTCATTCCTAAAGAAAAACAAAAATGTCTACATCCCTAGTAACTGTGTTTCCAGTAAATTCTGGTAATTTTATTGAAATGTTTTAAGCCAATCATATTTCTTGAATTAGATTGCTTTTATAAGAGATTAATATTTTTAAAAATTTTAAGATACTACTTAAAACCTTAACTACTTTTTACTGAATGGGAGGATTTTGATGTATGTTTTTCTTGTTAGAAATGTTTCTAAGTGGCAATTCCAAGTACTTTAAATCTGCAAAATGTTTAAAGTGTTTATCTGATATATAATGCTGCTAATAAATTTCAAATGGCTTTATTTTAGGTCCCAATGAGCGACAATTCAAGGGCTTAGGTGACTGTATTATGAAAATAGCAAAGTCGGATGGAATTGTTGGCTTGTACCAAGGGTTTGGAGTTTCAGTGCAGGGCATCATTGTGTACCGAGCCTCTTATTTTGGAGCTTATGACACAGTTAAGGTAATTTGGGTCTTTAATTAGTATATACTAAAGAAATGGTTTATTTCTTTTTATTCTAATTAATAACATGTTCAACAGATATATCTACTTTTAATTATATAAATCAAAATAAATGATGGAGTAAGAGACATTACAGAATTCTGTTTAATCACAACCTTGCCATAACCTAATCAATTACAACTCTACTGTGAATCTGACTATAGATATAAAGCATAAATTTAAACGTTAAGTTTTTGTGCTTTTTGCACTGCAAGACTGTTATACATCATATTGCAAATATGAAACATTATATATAGTCAAAATCTTTGATCTATAGCAAACCTCCTGACAGAATTTTCTGATTTTGTATTTACTTTATCATCACTTTTATTTTTTATATACAAATAAGTTTACTCTCATCACTCTTTGGAAAGAGGCAAGGCTAATTAATTAGTTAAATGTAATAAATGGTACTCTAGCTCAGTTGTCTATTGTATATCATTAGATCCTTTGCTGTATTCTCCTGACTGTTTTAGAAACTTGCCTTTTCATTTCAGATTTTGATAGCATTTTCAAAAGGCAGGAAAGAGAAAGATTATAATAATGGCTATCATTTTTTGAGCTATTACTTAGTTCTAGGAACTTTGTTCATTCTTTACCTCCTCGTAGTGTTCTAGGATAGGGGGTTCTCTCTTTAGGATTTTATTTATGTGTCTTCAGAGATAGGGTAAGGGAGGCAGAAACATGGGGAGAGAAACGTCAGTGCTTGAGAGAGGTGTGAGAGAAACATCTGTCAGCTCCCTCACACACCCCCCCAATAGCGGACCTGGCCTGCACCCCAGGAGTGTGCCCTGACTGGGGATCAAACCAGCGACTGTTTGGTTCTCAGGTCAGCACTCAACCCACTGAGCCACACCAGCCAGGGCTAGGATAGCTTTTAATATCTCCATTTTAAACATAACTAATCTAGCCCTCGCTGGTGTGGCTCAGTGGGTTGAGTGATGGCCTGTGAACTGAAAGGTCACTGGTTCGTATCCCTGTCAGGGCACATGCCTGGGATGTGGGCCAGGTCCCCAGTTGTGGGTGTGCAAGAGGCAACTCATCGATGTATGTCTCTCACATGATGTTTCTCTCCCTCTCCTTCCCTTACCCTCTCTCTAAAGAGAAATAAAATCTTAAACAAATAAACATAACTAACCTAGAAGTGGTCAAGTAATTTAAGTGGCAAGCAAAAACCTCATGCTCTTAATCACTATATAATAATGCTTCCAGAGTGAAACAGTGAAATTACTATCAGTATTATTTACTGAATAGGATTAAAAGTGGATAGAAATTTTACAATAGTTTTATAAATCATCTTGACATTCCATCAGATGTAGTTGAATGTCATTCTTATTGTGGTCTAGAAATAACTTAGAGTTTGTAGTGTATTTTTTCTTATGTATATTTACTTAATCACTGAAAAATTTGTATGTACTCTCCTTCTTTTCTCTATTACTACATGTAGCAGTTGTGAAATTTAGGAATGTTTCTTCATTGAGTTAGAGCTTCAAAGCTGTTTGTCAAATAAAATACCATCTGTTGATGATAACAGCAGGCATTATTTCATTCCTTTCAAATCTGTGAAGAGCCATGGAAGAACTTTTTTGGTCACTGGCTGCTATCTTTCTAGTTTTTAGTGCCAGTAGTGACGGATCAATTAATTATAAAATATGCTTTTCTTTTTCATATGTTTTTAAAGTGTAGTCATGTATGACATTCTCCTTTCTTACTGATCTCCTACTAATATTTTAATTTTTCCACATTAAATCCAACTGTTTTTAATTGCACTTTTAAGTATAATTGAGCCCTCTTTCATATATTCCTTAGAATTATTCTTTGACTTAAGGATTTAAGACATTTTAGAAATTTAGATGGTTACTTTATACATTGTTCTTTTATAGGGCTTATTACCCAAACCAAAGGAAACCCCATTTCTTGTCTCCTTTTTCATTGCTCAAGTTGTGACTACATGCTCTGGAATACTCTCTTACCCCTTTGACACAGTTAGAAGGCGTATGATGATGCAGGTATTTTATATTATTATTTCAAAGTTTGAGTTTTCCACTATCTCTGATATTCAGTTACAACTTATTTAAATTTTAGAGAAATTTTGACTGAAAGGCATAGGTCATTTTCTAATTGTTTATGCTATAAGAGTTGGTCCCGCTTTTTCTCCCTTTTCCCACCTCACCCAATCCCACCCTTTCCTCTCCCTCAGTCAGTCCCCGTGTCGTTGTCCCTGTTCGTGGGTCATGCATAAATGTTCTCGGTTAGTCCCTTCACTGTTTGTCACCTACTGCCCCCGCGCCGGCAGCAGCCAGTCTGTTCCATATATGTGCTTCTGTTTCTATTTTGTTCATTGGTTTATTGTGTTCATTAGATTTCATATATAAGGAGATCGTGTGGTATTTGTCTTTCACTGACTGGCTTATTTCACTTAGCATAATATTCTCCAGGTCCATCCATGCGGTTGCAAAAGGTAAGAGTTCCTTCTTTTTTACTCTTGTGTAGTATTCCATATGTTCATAGCAGCGCTGTTTATAATAGCCAACATCTGGAAACAGCCTGAGTGCCCATCAGTAGATGAGTGGACAAAAAAGTTGTGGCACATTTATGTTTATTATTTGTTTTTATAGAGAGGGTAAGGGAGGGAGAAAGAGAGGGAGAAAAACATTGATGTGTGAGAGAAACATCAATCAGTTTCCTCTTGCACATGCCCCAACCAGGGACCAGGTCCACGACCCAGGTATGTGCTCTGACTGGGAATTGAACCAGTCAAACTGGCAACCTTTCACTTTGCGGGCTTACACTCAACCAACCAAGCCATGCTGGTCAGGGCACTGTGGTACATTTACACAATGGAGTATTTTAAAATAAATGTATGCTGTGTTGTTTTGTATTCTTCCCTATCGCTGAGCACCCACCACCCAGCACAGCTTTTTATTCTGCTACCAGAAGTGCTTTCCACTCCTGTGGCATAATTGTATGAAGGGTGTTGGGGGATTGTAGGGACTGGATGAGTATGCCTATCTTAACTGAATATCAGATCAAGTAGAGTAAGCCCACTCACAAGCCACTGACATATATAATATCATTTGTTACAGTATATTTTAATAAAAGTAAATAATTTTAACTTCAAAGATGAAGATTTATTTATAATGATCTATGTTCAAAGTATAAATCCCCAAGCCAAAATTTGATATTTTCAATATGCATCGCTGTTACTTGTTATATTCATTCAACAAATATTTGACTGCCTAATCTATGCTTAGCTGTGGTGACACAAATAAAATAAGGCAGAACCTAAGTCATAGCATAGCCCTGAAGGAATATAGTTAACTGTTTAAGTAGAAATGTGCATAGGTTCCCAGAATGCAACAGAGGAAGAGTACCCAATTGCCTAAAGCAATCAGATGTGTCCTCTTGGAGAGATAAATCTCAATAAGTAGGCTTTCTCTCCAGTGAGCAAAGTTTCTAAGAGTGAAAGAAAACGTAGCACATGCAGGACTTGAAAAGTGTGGTTCAGTATACCCAGATGATAGGTTTCATGAGGGCAAGTGAAAATAATGAGGCCAGAAAGCTAGCCAAGTGCTGTATTGCTTACTGTGACAGATACTGTCCTAAGCACTTTACAGTTTGACTCATTTAATTCTCAAAACAGTGCTGTGAGGTGTAGTTACTATCATTATCCTTAGTTTATTCTACGAAGTGGTCCTAGAAGAACCTCCTAGGCTACCCAGAAGGGTAAAACATATATAACCTATTACCATCCTTAGAGTTATACCATTGTCTTGGACCACGCTTAAAGTTATTCCATTTAAATCTGTGTTTCCTCTTGATCTATATCTAGTTCTAGTTTAATACATTGAAACTTTTTAAAATGGAAAATTAATTTGCATATAGACTTTGGATTAGTAAATGATACTGTATCAATGTTAAGTTTTCTGATTTTGATAACTGTACTTCAGGTATGTTAGAAAATGTACATTGGAGTGTTTAAGAATAAGGGTCATAATATCTACAGTTTACTGTCAAAATAAGTGTATTTTAGTGTATTGCTATGGCTGCCATAATGACGTACAGCAGACCAGGCAGCTTAAACAACAGAAATTTATTTTCTATTTCCTTACACACATGGAGGGTCAGCGTTCATGTCAAGGTGTCTGGCAGGGTTGCTCTCTTCCGAGGGCATGTCTCCTTGACTTGTGGACGACCTTCTCTCCGTGTCTTTTATGGTCCGCTCTGTTTCTCTTCTCACAAGGATGCTGTATTGGATGAGGACTGACCCTAATGAACTCATTTGACCTTAATTACATTTATAAAGACCCTCTCTTTCAACATAGTCACATTCTGAGGCATTCCGGGGATGTAGACTTCAATATATGAATTTTGTGGGGATGCAATTCAGTAGATTTTTTTGCGTTTTTGTTTAATTTCCCACAAGTTTCTTAAATGCTGTTACCAGCACTAATCTGTGTATACATTCTTTCAAGATTTCTTTTTAAACACACCCCTCTGGGTTTATGATCTGCAAAAAATACCAGGCTCACTACCCACCCTGTTTTTAACAATACTTAAATGCTTTATTTCCTTTTCTTGCACTTATGCACTAGCTAAGACCTCTGATACAGTGTTGTATTAAAGAAGTAATAACTAGCAATCTTTCTTATTTCTAATCTTACAGAAGTGCCTTCAGCGTTACATGATTTAATGTTACCTCTGTTTTTTTTGTAATTATCTGTTGTCAAGCTGTGGCTCTTCCTGTCTGGTTTTGGGTTATAACAGTTATTAATTATGAATGGCAGTCATTTTTTTATATCGAGATGATCATATCATTTTTCCCTTTTAATTTGTTAATATCTATATTTCATTAGTCTATTTTCCAGAGCCAGACCAACCTTATATGCCAGGAATGATCCAGTTTGGTCATGATGCATTGTATTTGGTGTCCCTTACTGGGTTGGATTGGCTAATTTCTGTTCAGGGTTTTGGCATTTGTGTTTCACTGGCATTGGCTTGGAATTTTTCCTTCTTGTACTGTCTAATTTGGTATCAAGGCTATGTAAGCTTCATAAAATACACTGGGGACTCTTCCTAATTTTCTCTTCTCTAGGATAATTTATGTAAGATGAGAATTAAATGTTTATTGGATGGCCCTGACCAGCATGGCTCAGTTGGTTGGGCATCATTCCACAAAGCTAAAGTTTGCCAGTTCAGTCCCTGTCAGGGCACATGCCTGGGTTGCAACTGATTGATGTTTCTCTCTCACATCATATTCCCTTCTCTTTTTCCCTCTCTTACCTTCTCTCTAAAAATAAATAAATGAAATCTTGTAAAAAAATGTTTACTGAAGGTGTAGTAGACCGGTACGTATAAAGCCATCGGGACAGGTGGTTTTCTTTATGAGAACATTTTCAACAACTGATGGAATATCTTTAATTCATTTATTATCCCAATTGGAATTTAGTCTGTTGATAAATTATAAGGAAATTACCACTCAGGCAGCATCTTAAAAATTTAGTTGAATATTATGGTTATTATTAGGTTTTAAGTATTTAAATGTTTTTCTTAATGTCCAAACATTTCTCTAGGTATCTTTTTTTACTATTGATTTAGCACTTAATTGCATTGTGAGGAGAGGATAAATCATGGTATATGATGCCATCCTTTGAAATTTGTTAAGCCTGGTATCTAGTCAGTTTTCAAGTGTATTTGTGAAATGCGAATGTTCTCCAGCAACTACTAGATGTACAATGTTCGATGCATGCTCATTGACCCAACATACGTACTCAAACAGTGTTATTTTTATGTGTCTTTGGTGCTGAGTAAAACCTATCTTAACATAAAAGCTATTAAGATGATGAGAAACTATTTGTCTTTCTCTATATAGAGTGGTGAGGCTGAACGGCAATATAAAGGAACTTTAGACTGCTTTATGAAGATATACCAACATGAGGGAGTCAATGCATTTTTTCGTGGCGCCTTCTCCAACGTCCTTCGTGGTACCGGGGGTGCTTTAGTGTTGGTGTTATATGATAAAATTAAAGAATTCCTTAATCTTGGTAGTGGAGGTAGTTCATCAGGAGATTAAATTGAGAAATGGATATATTTAACTTGTTAAACATACAAATTACATAGCTGCCATTTGTATAAATTTTGATAGTTATCACTGTTTTTTAAGTGGTAATTCTGCAATAAAGTATATGCTTTTTCAAAGATTTAAATACTAAAAATCCTATAAATGTGTGTTTCCTTCCTACTTACACTCAAACTCACTTTAATGAGACATGTTACTTATAATTAGTATATGTTATTTTTATTAGTTTAAAATCCTTATGTTTGTGATGAAAAATTAAAGTGTATAATGTTAAAATATAAGACATGAAAGTTCTTTTAAAATGCTATTCTTCTAATATAATTGTCTTCCCATCTTTTAAAATCATATAATATGACAAATACTTCTTAAAAACTGATTGAAAGATGTCATCATTATATCTGTGGGCATAAGTAAGCTTTCTTCGACATCCTTAAGACAGCTCAGTTTATTACTAAGTTTGGTGTTTCTGGTATTATAATGCTTTTAAGAAACACAGATTCTAGATCTCATAAAACGCTGATAATGACTGTAATGACACTGTAAACCTGTAGTTGGAAATTAAAAGCTATAAAGTGGCATATCTGCTAACTTTTATTTTTAAAATGAATAGACTCTTGCTAATGTGAATATATCTTGGAACAAAAAAAAAGTCCCCTTGAAAATTATTTGTTGTGTCTTGTATTGATAATAAAGGAAGTTTAAAAGTTAAATATGAGCTTTTTTTCTTGATTCTAACTTTATTTAATAAGCATAGAGGAACAAATATTTGTCAGAATTGGGAACTGGCTTAAAGACAGAAAACAGGGTTCCAAGATCTGGTACAGGAGCTTGTTTTGTTTTTTCAGAAATGTTGTTGAAGATAGTACATTTAAAATCCCCAAGATTTTAAAGTTTTGATGGGTAAAGGAATGTTAAGCTAGTGGGGATAAACTACATAAAGATTTTGTGGGCTTGTAAGTGGACAAAAATGGGGTGAGTAAACTTCTTGGTGCATAGGAGCAAAGTATGTTTCAAAGAAAATAATCAAAACTAGACTTTAATATACAGGGTGGAGCAACCAAATCAAATACTAGGAATAGTCACCCATATAAAGAATAACTAAAAAAATATGAAAGTTTTACATTTCTACAGTGACATGCAGAGAGGAAAGAAGTCTTTGAAATCCTGAATGGCATAGGTAAAGACAAACAGGAATTTAACTACTAAATCACTAGCCAAAAGCCTATTCTGTGAAGCCTGGAAGATACATAGATATGACCAAAAAGAAATGTTACTTAGTATCCTGGACTGATCCAAAACTTATGGTGAGCAAAATAATAATGGAGATTACATAAGAAAATAATGTTTAAATGTTAACACAAATGTTTGAAAAATGCATAGCTAAAGAATATTTAAATGTGTACATTTTTCTGTGTGTTAAATTACTAATGCTGCATCTTCTTGGATAGGATTTTTTAATTTCCTATTCTAAAACTGTATCCCAAATAATGCCAAAAAATTCATTCTTAGAGCTTCATTCTTTTAGTTTATCTTTACTTAATTCATTAAAATACATCCTCTATAAAAAGATAACCTTTTAAATTTATAGTCATTTATACTTACTGAAACTACCTTTATTTTGCTGAATTTCACATTGTTTTCTCACAGCAGGTTTTGCTAGAGAGAGAGAGAGAGTCAAAACAAAAATTATGTACTAGGAGGCCAGAAGCTCCTGAAGACATTTTTACTATTTTATATTTCTACTCTGGATCCATTCTTTACAGCACAGATGGCAAACACAAGGCCCATGGGCTCAATCCAGACCTCCACCTTGTTGTATCTGGCCCAGCACCTTGTTTCTACCTGGTGGCAGCACCAAGCTCTTGCTTAACTGTTAAGGAGTAGTTACATAATTTTACAGTCCTAAAATTCCATTCAGACCTTTGAAGGCAACTGAGAGGCTGATGAGGCCCCCAGTGAAAGTGAGTTTGATGCCCCTGCTTTACAGTAAGAGAACTTTGGTATGCTTGAACTCAAACTTCTGAAATAATTCCTTTGTCCATATACAAACATTGTGCTCTGTATAGTTCCATTTTTGTACACAAATGTGCTTGAAGTAAAGCTTGTGAAATACACTTAGTTCCTTTGTTCATATACAAACACTGTGTTAGTGTAAATAAATGATACCTGTGTTCCTCTTTAGCTGATTAACCTAACTGTAAATTCAAAGGGCTTTTTTTCTTCCACCATTATCTTCAATGTTAGGATTCCACAGGGGCTAGTCATAAGCCCTTTTGGTACTTTACATGTGATCCCCAGTTCATTTCCTCTCTATACCTTTAGTTTCAGATTCTATCCATATACCAGTGAAGCTCAGATTTCCCTCTAGCCTGGCCCAGGTTCCTCTAAGAGTTTCCAAATGCAATTTGATAGTCTTTTGCACCCTTTTCTCTGTATGTATAACCAAGTTCTCTAACCCAGCATTTCTAAAATCTGACTCACTTTTTCAAGTCAGGCTTGCTTCTCTTTCCATAACCTTTATCTTGATTAACAATACACAGTGATTTGCCCACAATACCCAGTCGCCCACAATAGAAATCTGGGAGTCATTTTTGCTTTCCTTCTACCTCAGTTCATATAGCAAATAAATCACCTACTCTGGTAAACTCTGCTTCCTAAAGTTTCTTAACAATATTTTCTTTCCCTTTTGATTGCTGTTGTTTTAATTTAGGACTCACTAATATGTGCTGTTTTAATAAGCTCGGTGAGGGTAAAGGCTAAGCTGCTGTAACAAAGAGACCCAAAAAATGGTATATGACATGGTTAGACACAGAGGGTATTATCCTAAGTGAAATGAGTTAAACAGCGAAAGACAAATATGTAATTTCACTGATATGTGGAACCTAAAGAACAAAATAAACAAAATAGAAAGAGACTCATAGGTACAGATAAGAACTACTGGTGGCTAGAGGGGAAGGACTGGGTGAAAAGGGTAAAGGGAGTGAGAAGTACAAATTAGTATTTAGAGTCACAGGGATGTAAAGCACAGCATGGGGAATATAGTCAATAATATTGTAATAACTATGTATCATGCCAGGTGGGTAATGGAAATACCGGGGGAAACACTGTAAAGAATATGATTATCTAACCACTATGCTGTACACCTGACACTAATACAAAAAATACTATGAATGTAAACTATGATTGAAAAAATTTTTTAAAAGAAAATACAGTGGTTTAAGTAAGATGTGTTTCTCTTAAATGATAGTTGGGAAGTGAGCAAGATACCATATCCTTTTAGAGACCTGCCTACCTTCATCTTTGTGTTCTAATCTCTTAAAGCAGGTGTTCCTAACCATTTTTATGCCATGGACACCCTTGTTTTGTAGTAAAGTCTACGAACCCAGTATAATAGTTTTTAAATGTCTAAAATAAAATACATAGGATTATAAAGGAAACTCTGAAATATTTTTATTAAAATATTAAATACAAAATTATGAGATGATAATGTGTATAACATTTATAAGATCCATAGTATCAATATCCATCAATATGGTTTGAAATAATGTGTAACAATTACAATGTAGTATGATATGATTTCTGAGAACCTAAGGTTGCTCCGTCAGATGGGCATCTCTTCATGTATGTGAGTGGCAGTGATGCGTTACAGATGAGGCCCAAAAGCCAAATGGACCCAAGTGTATCTCCTTAAATTGACTCTTTTGAGTCAAACAGAGGCTTCCTTATCCTCAGAGACACGTACTCAGTCCAGGAATATCTGATTCCTATCATGCAAGTTTGGATGACTCGTAGAATTCATTGTTTGAAAAGATTGTTACCTAAGGAAATGTGACACCTGGCTTAAAACCCAGGGGCATTATGTTTAAACTTCTGGTTGAGAACAGAGGACACGGCAAAGAACGTATAGGAGGCAGATCAGAAGAATCACCCTTTTTGGGCTTCACTCTCTGCCTCTGAAATGGAGTGACTGGATTAGATTATGTTGAGTTATGAAATGTGTTCAAAGTAATTAAAAATTAATAGTCAAAGAGGTTTGTGAATTAGAATTGTTTCTGAAAAATAAATTAGAACAATTATGCATTAAAAAGAAAGTACATTATTTTTATTGGTGAGAAAAATCACATACTGTTAATATTACTGTGATTTGTACCTATGTTCATTATTGAAATCAGTGTTAAATTTTAGTTAAAGGTTAGTTTAAGATAATCCCTCCTTAAAGTTATCTGTGTATTCCATAGGGATCTGAGGACCCCAGGGAAAGAACCACATACTAGAGATTGTAATATCTGCATAGTTAAAGCTGAGTATCTGGCTAATCTATGTTACCATTTGCAAGGAAAGAAAAAACAATCGGCAGGTGGAAGGGATTTTAACCAGGTGAGATGGAAGTTGCACATGTCACATATACATGTTGGTGACTTTAGTTACATGGCCATTCTGGAAGGTTGGAAATACAGTGTGTAGCTGAGCAGCCACACGTACAAGGCAAAATAACAGATTTTGAAAGACAGCCAGGAGAACACCAGTCTCCTAAGTGGCCAGTCTCACTCTTACCCATTCAGTCTCACTCTTAATCCATTCTTAACCTTATCAGAATATTATGTAAACTCCAGTCTGATCGCATCAGTTTCCATCTATTTCAATGTCTAAAATAGTAGTATATCCTGAATTGTAGGTCATCTGAATTGGAGGATATTGGGGAGAAGTTTTTGCAAGTAATTTACAAGTTGATAATGCTCACTAAAGTTGAAAATTGGATTTTAAAATTTTATATATATATGTAGTATTTTTATTTAAGTACAAACTTTGGGGATTAACAAAATACAAGTATATGAAGTGTTCTTGGACTAAATAGTATGAAGACATTATTACAGTAAATGAGAGAATTTTTTATTTTTTGAAAAAGGGTCCTCATTCTTGAAAAGGTAAACTTATTGCTTACAGGATAAAGACTTATTCTTATCATGGCATGCATTATCCTTCATGATCTAGCT